GAGATCGGCATGAATGCGTGAGATCGGCATGAATGCGTGAGATCGGCATGAATGCGTGAGATCGGCATGAATGCGTGAGATCGGCATGAATGCGTGAGATCGGCATGAATGCGTGAGATCGGCATGAATGCGTGAGATCGGCATGAATGCGTGAGATCGGCATGAATGCGTGAGATCGGCATGAATGCGTGAGATCGGCATGAATGCGTGAGATCGGCATGAATGCGTGAGATCGGCATGAATGCGTGAGATCGCATGAATGCGTGAGATCGGCATGAATGCGTGAGATCGGCATGAATGCGTGAGATCGGCATGAATGCGTGAGATCGGCATGAATGCGTGAGATCCGCATGAATGCGTGAGATCAGCATGAATGCGTGAGATCAGCATGAATGCGTGAGATCAGCATGAATGCGTGAGATCAGCATGAATGCGTGAGATCAGCATGAATGCGTGAGATGAATGCGTGAGATCAGCATGAATGCGTGAGATCAGCATGAATGCGTGAGATCAGCATGAATGCGTGAGATCAGCATGAATGCGTGAGATCAGCATGAATGCGTGAGATCAGCATGAATGCGTGAGATCGGCATGAATGCGTGAGATCGGCATGAATGCGTGAGATCGGCATGAATGCGTGAGATCGGCATGAATGCGTGAGATCCGCATGAATGCGTGAGATCGGCATGAATGCGTGAGATCGGCATGAATGCGTGAGTTCGGCATGAATGCGTGAGATCGGCATGAATGCGTGAGATCGGCATGAATGCGTGAGATCGGCATGAATGCGTGAGATCGGCATGAATGCGTGAGATCGGCATGAATGCGTGAGATCGGCATGAATGCGTGAGATCGGCATGAATGCGTGAGATCGGCATGAATGCGTGAGATCGGCATGAATGCGTGAGATCGGCATGAATGCGTGAGATCGGCATGAATGCGTGAGATCAGCATGAATGCATGAGATCGGCATGAATGCGTGAGATCAGCATGAATGCGTGAGATCAGCATGAATGCGTGAGATCAGCATGAATGCGTGAGATCAGAATGAGTGCGTGAGCACGAGCGCGTGTAGGCATGCACAGCACGTGCCTGTAGGCCTGTCCTTTGGAGGTTTTGGAGGTGCCTCAAAAGCCTCTCTGCTTTTTCTTACCTGGCCGGTGGGGTTGCCTGGGGTGATCACGCATGACGCCCGCACACACACGCCCTCCTCCCCTGCTTTCTCAACCACTCGCTGCAAGCCTTCCGAATCCAGGCTCCACCCCGGCCCCTCGACGACGTAGCAGGACACGAGATTTCTGCCACTGAGATCTAGGTGACTTTTGAGTCGACTCAAAAGTCACCTTGAGATCTAGAGAAGGAGCCTGAAAGCTCACCTGCCCGGTGGGGTTGCCTGGGTTGATCACACACAGCGCCCGCACACACACGCCCTCCTCCCCTGCCTTCTCAACCACTCTCTGCAGATCCGCAGGGTTCAGCCTCCACCTCGCCCCCTCGTCCAGATAGTAGGGCACGAGTGTGGCGCCGTTGAGTGCTAGCGAGGCAGAGTAGAGGGGATACTGCGGGATGGGACAGAGCACGCCATCCTCCTTGCTGCGCACGAGAAGCTTGAGAACCATTTGCACCTGGTCGTGAGACGGGGGGGGGAGAGGGGAGGGAGGAGGGGGGGAGAAGATGGGAGGCGGGACGAGAGAAGGAGTGGTGGTGTTGGCATAAAAATGGGAATGAGAGAGGGAGGGGAGAAAGGCGGGAGACGGCAGGAGAGAAGAGAGGATGGAGAAAGGATGCAACAGGGGAGGGGGATGGAGCAGGATAGCACTAACAGAAGAAATTACACAGCACCACCTGCAGCATGACTGGCCCCATACGTGAAGAAAAAACCATCAGCAAAGGCAGCATGGCCATCCCTTCTCGCAATGCAATCCCCCCAAGACAATCTAGCAACACTGTACAGACCACAATGCGACTGGTCCCATAAAAAACACCCAGACAACAGCACCCCGATACATACAGCAGGGCTGGCCCCAACAGTGAGGAAGATGTCGTCCGCAGAGGCAGCATGGCCGCCCCTCCTCGCCACTACACACGTCAATCCAGCAACACAGTTCAAAACAGCATCCCCAGTGCAAAGCACCACAAAGAACCACCTACAGCTGGGCTGGCCCCATCAGTGAGGAAGATGTCATCCGCAGAGGCAGCATGGCCGTCCCTCCTCGCAATCCCCTCCGCCACGAGCTGCCGGCACAGCAGCAGCCCCTGGCTGTGGCTGTAGGCGCCCGTGGCAGAGAACGGAATCGAATCCAGAATCTGCTTGGCTCGGTGCAGAGCCGTGGAGCTGAAGGGGGAACTGCCGTCAGGGTTCTTGAGGTCCATGAGAGCGGGGTGGTCGCAGAGAGAGAGCACCTGTTTGGTTTTGTGATAGCATGGAGGGGAGGAGAGGCTTGAAGGCATGAGTGGGCAGGAGTGAGGGAGTGAGGGCTCTTCGCAATCCGTAATATTTTGAGTCGACTCAAAATACATCTGTAAGTGGGCAGGAGTGAGATCCCAAGGATCGTCTCAGGAGTGAGATCCCAAGGATCGTGTCATGAGTGGGCAGGAGTGAGGGCTCTTCGCAATCCCAGCCCCTGGCTGTGGGCGTAGGCGCCAGTGCCATGGAATGGAATCTCCAGCGCCAGCATCTGCTTGGCTCGCTGCAGAGCCGTGGCGCTGAAGGGGGGAGAGCCATCGGGGTTCAGTTTTGAGGCGCCTCAAAACTGGAGAGCCATCGGGGTTCAGTTTTGAGGCGCCTCAAAACTGGAGAGCCATCGGGGTTCAGTTTTGAGGCGCCTCAAAACTGGAGAGCCATCGGGGTTTAAGGGGGATTCTTGAGGTGCATGAGCGCGGGATGGTCGCAGAGGGCGAGCACCTGATGGGGTTGAAGATAGGGTGCAGGGGGGAAGATGGGGTTGAAGGCATGAGAGGACTGGAGTGAGGTTTCCTCGCAACCCCCTCCGCCATGAGCTGTCGGCACAGCAGCACACCCTGAGTTTACGCGCCTGTGGCACACAAGGGACGAGTCTCCCCCGGGCGCTTCTCCCGGTGACGCGAGTGCATCTCCCACAGACGCTTCTCCTCTCGCGGACCCTCCTCTCACGGACGCTTCACACGCAGTCATCAGGCAGCAGTCCGACGTCTGTGGGACGCTACCGTTTTACCCTCTCCTCCCTCCGCGTCCCATGTCCAGACAACCCCTCCACACTCACCTGTCCAGTTGAACTGCCTGGGTGGGAAATTGGGAATCCGCAAATTGGGAATCCGCCTGGGCGGTCAATTCACACTCACCAGACGATGCTCCGACTGAACCTGCGAAGATGGCATGGCAGCTTCCCGCCCTCTCAAGAGGCCATGGCCTAGCAAGCACGGTACAAGGCTGTGACTCACTTCTCTGTAAAAGGTTATGGGTGGCTGTCCGAGAGCTTGGGGGTTGCCAATGTTGCAGTAGATGATCTGGGGGAAACACGAGATTTGCAGAAAACAAAAGTGTTTGAAGGTTGAAAATAGCATGAGCAGTGCCGAAGAGATGCCACCCAATCCAGCTGCAGCGCAAGTGAGGGAAAGCAGGGCTCACCAAATGGCAGAAGGTCCAGCTCCAAAGGCGAGAGATTACCGCATTGAATCGCATCTCACCTCATCAAATGGCAGTGACCCCGGCTTCACGGTTAGCTGAGACTCGAGTGCCAGCGCTCTTGCGACTATCTCCCCGCGAACTGCGTACTCGCACTCCCGCACCTTGCAGGGGAGAAGGGCAGCGAAGAAAACGCTAGACGGGTAAACGGTTTAGGGCAGCGAAGGGAAAAGGACGTTGGAAAACGGTTGGTTTGTTTTCTTTCTTTCTTTTCTTTTTTTTTCAGAAAAATACGACAGCACATGGTTTATTCTACGCAAGAGCACTGACGAGCTTATGGTTAAAAGCAGGAGTATACCCGCGGGTTTATTGTATCGAGGGTAAGCGGGGGAGCACGAGGAGCAAGCAGGCTCGCCAGGCTGCTGCTGCTGTAGAACCGTCTTCCTGACACGTCAGCGCGCGACCTCGCCACGTCAGATGGAACATTGGTCACGTCAGCGTCCCTCCTGCCGTGAATTTGACTGGAATCTCGAACGGCGGAGCTCCCAAGCGCGGGACTCCAAGCTCGTCGTAGTCCCGCTGTCAGTCCCGCTCGCACGACCCTTTCCGCCCGTGACGACCGAAAGAGCAGACCCATTATTGCTATTGTCGAGGGCTTACTTGCCAGCGGCTCTAGAACGTCTTCCTACTACGGAAAACCGAGTCGGGAGCTCGAGCTCCCAAGTCGCTAGAAACCGGGACAAACCGGAAGCCTCGGCTCCTCGGAAGTCTTATAGCCAGGGACCCAAGTTTACCAACTGTAAAACAGTTGGTTGGGACTAAAACTACTGATTGCCCGGCGAGCTGTAGGCACCAGTGAAATCGCCTGCGAGTGTTGCAATTCCCGCACCCTCACGACACAAAACCTGGTTTTTCCCAACTAACTGTAAAACACGCCCTAAGTTCTAGAAACTTGGGTCCCTGGCTTTATGGAAGAAGCTTTATTCTGGCTGAGTGGAGTGGGATGGGAAAGGCAGAATTCGTACAGTAACTGTCTCCTGGCTGGATTCCGCGTCATTATGGGATCACATTACGTCACCCTTGAAGCACATTGCATGGTCGCTCGGCGAAATTCTGTTCTGCAGATGGGGGAGAGATTGGGGGGAAGTTTGGCTGGTAGGTGTGATATGGTATGGTATGGTGTGGTGTGGTGTGGTGTGGTCACGGGGAGGAAACTCGCCGAGGCAGGAGGAATCTCACTAATCAGTAGGCCAAATTTAGAGAATGGTACAGAACTCAGCGAAAACAGTCGATTCTACCTAAAACGCGTAAATAAAATTGTGCCCAAGGAGTGGGCCCTCGGGAATCTCACTATAATCAGTTCCTACTCAAATGAAATTGTGCTCGAAAAGAGGGAGGAGTGTCAGAATAGTTGCTCCGTTTCAACACGGCACGTTGAAGCATGTCAGTGGCTTCTTCCTAACTTACTAATCTGGACTGATCTGGTCTGGATCCCTTTTGCCTGTCACTCATTTCGTTCATGTAGTCTCCGTTAGCCCCCGTTAGCGTCCGTCAGCTACCGTTGGCCTCCGTCATATTCCTCGTGACTAGCCTTCAGGCATGGCTCTTCGTGACCAAGACCATTGTAGTTTTCAGTAGTCAGTCTGCGAATTGTTCAGCGAAGTACACAGTAAATTTTCCTCGTCGACGATTATTCGGTAATCTGAAGCGAGGCGACCGGGGATCATGCTACAATGACCCTCTATCAGCGGCGATTAGCTAGCGAGCCACGAGCTGCATCGGGTTCTTTACTGGGTAAAGCACCACGAGTAAGAGGGTGCTGAATCTCCGCCAGTAGTCCAAAGCAAGGCGACCAATCTTGTCTAACAACGGTCAGCGAGCCACGATGTGCATCCGCTTCTTCACTGGCTGATTCGTTGCCGTTAGTAGTTCAAAGCGAGGCGACCAAGATCAACGATCAGCGTCAGCATCGGCATCAGCTAGCGAGCCACGATGTGCATCGGCTTCTGCACAGGCTGCTGCGGTGCTTTCGCCGGCACGGCCCTGGGTCACTGCCTCTGCTCCTGCTGCGCCATCGCCCCCTCGCGCGTTGCCGCGAAGTTCTTATATGGAGGGATGTTCCTGGCCTCCGTTGTTGTCGCGTGGGTCGTGAGAGACTACGCCACCGCTGCACTGTACAATCTCTACAGTGAGTGCGATCCCCACAATGTTCCCCTGCTCCCCCTCCTCCCCATGCTCCCCCTGCTCCCCATGCTCCCCATGCTCCCCCTGCTCCCCATGCTCCCCCTGCTCCCCATGCTCCCCCTGCTCCCCATGCTCCCCCTGCTCCCCATGCTCCCCCTGCTCCCCATGCTTCCTCCTGCTCCCCCTGTTCTGAGAGACTACGCCACCGCTGCACTGTGCTATCTCTACGGTGAGTTTCATCCGTACAGTGATTGGAGCCACTGACCATATGGCATGGCAATTGCCTCGCTCCATCCTTCACCGTGTGCCCCCCACGTGCCTCCACCTCACCACGAATCCCTCTATCCTCAGCCTCCTACCCTCCTTTCGTCCCCCTCCCCTTTCTCCTCCCGCCTCCCCCTGGCTCTGATGGTTCCTTTCTCCTTCCCCTCCCCAATCCTTCTCTTCCTCCAGGCTTCCAGTCGTGTGCGCCTGACAACCTTGACCCCGCCTGCGTGGGCACGCTGGCAGTGCTGCGGATGAGCTGTCAAAGTGCCTAAAGCCACGTCCCCTTGTCAAACCCTCCCCTCTCTGCTCGTCCTGCCCTTCCTGCTCCTCCCAGGCTTCCAGTCCTGTGCGCCTGACAACCCCGCGTGCGTGGGCGCCCTGGCAGTGCTGCGGATGAGCTTCGGCCTCTGCCTCTTCTTCGCGCTCATGCTGCTCACCACTGCCGGTGCCAAGCACGAGGGCGGGTGCAGAGACCTTTGGCACTCGGGATGGTGGCCGCCCAAGCTGCTGCTGTGGCTGCTGCTGCTTTTTGTTCCGTTCGTCCTGCCCTACCGTGAGTACTCTTGCTGGCAGCGGCCGCTGCCAAGCACGAGGGCGGCTGCAGAGGCCTCTGGCACTCGGGATGGTGGCCGCCCAAGCTGCTGCTCTGGCTGCTGCTGCTCTTCCTTCCCTTCCTCGTGCCCTATCGTGAGCACTCGTGCTCGTAGACCTCACGCTGCTGGCAGCAGCCGGCGCAAAGCATGAGGGCGGATGCCAGGACCACTTGCACTCCGGCTGGTGGTCTCTGAAGCTCCCTCTCTGGCTGCTGCTGCTCTTCCTTCCCTTCCTCCCCCCCCTACCGTTCCTTTCCTGCGTCTGTGCTGTTATGAGCTGGATTCCTTCGTTCATGCTCAGTGCTTCATCCATCAGTCCGTTTTCCTCCGACTTCTCCTGGTCCGTTTTCTGTGTACCAGAGGTGTTTCAGGTGTATGGCGAGGTGGCGATAGCAGGGGCAGCGGTGTTCCTGGTGATTCAGCTGGTGAGCATCATCAACTTCATCTATGTGTGGAACGACGCGTGGCTCAACAATGAAAGAATGTGAGAACCGTCAATGCTTTTGGCTCCTTCCCCTTAGACCTTTTCTTTCTTCCTTCCCAGTACTCTTTGGTGCCTCAAGCTCCAACTGTGCATTGTGCAATGCATGTGTGCACTAATATGTGCCCCCTCCTGCATCCATGTGTGCAGGCATGTGTGGATGGCAGTGGTATCTGTCGTCTGCTACCTGCTCTTCCTCGCCGGCATCATCCTCATGTACATCTTCTTCGCGCCCGCCTCCTCCTGCTCCCTCAACATCTTCTTCATCACCTTCCTCCTCGTCCTTGTGGTGGTTCTCACCGCAATATCCGTGCATCCCAAGGTGGGTAGTGCTCATACTCACGTGACTCAACTTAAACCGCAGTTTCAAACAGCGCTCTTTTTCTCATCGCCGCCTTGTCGTCCATTTCATTGCTCGTACCACTATATCCGTGCATCCCAAGGTGTTCTTGCATGGTGGTTTGTACCCTGATGCTGGGTTGATGAGCCAATTTCTTGTGAAAAGTCATACCCTTTGATGCCACTTGCATCCATGTGTGCGCATGAAGGTGGATGCAGGGCCTCTCACCACCGGCGTCATGGCGGTGTATTTTGCATTCCTGTGCTGGTCCTCAATCATGAGCGAGCCGCCCTCTGAGGTCTGCAACACACGTCCTCGTCAGACAGGATACGGCGGGTGGCTCGATATTATGGTGAGATAGTTCCTGCTTTTATCACAACTGTTGCACAACACTCCATCTTCGGCTGTTTGGCGTACAGCTAACGAGTGTCTTACTGGTACGTGCTGCATCCAACTCTACATTCTACCCTCTCGCCTACTTGCACCTCAGGCTTTCATAGTGGCTCTCTTCAGCATCGCAATATCTGTCTATGCCACTGGGATTGACTCCCGTTGCTTCTCGCTCCGGCCCTGCTCCCAAGACGAGGACATGGCTGGTAACGGAGAGGTTCCCTACGGTTACGGCTTCTTCCATCTTGTGTTTCTCACGGGTTCAATGTACATGGCTATGCTACTACTAGGGTGGAATATGAACCAAACTCCGGTAGAGTGGAGCATCGATGCTGGTTGGGTTAGCACCTGGGTCAAGATGGGTCTGTTATGGGTATCTGCTCTGGTTTACCTTTGGACACTAGTTGCTCCATTTGTCTTGAGAGGTAGAGATTTCGCATAGTGGTCACTGTTTCACCATCAACTTGGTATCTGGCCATTGCAAGCGATGACAAAAGCCCGGGAAGGAACGCTGTTTTCCTTCTAGCAACCAGGTCATAGTGGGCAGAACGCTGAGTCAGCTGGTGGGGATGTGCGTGCGACTCTATGCCCTCATCGTGGTCTTTACATGCACCAATATGTTGTCAAACATATTTGTACATGTTATAGGCTAGATAGGTGCATGCTCTTAGAGGGTACATCACTTCAACAAAATCAGCCTGTATGCCTCATTCTAGTCATCTTTTACTCTGGGATGGTATTATGCGCTAGGTTAGGTCCTCCCCGCTCTCGTCCTAGCCCTAGCCGCCCCTTAGCGCCCTGTCGGCCCCGTGCGCCCTACCGGCCCCTTTAGCCCCGTAGGCCCGTTAGCGCCCCGTCGGCCTTGTGCGCCCTCACGGCCCATCGCGCCTTCTCGGCCCCGTTAGCGCCCCGTCGGCCACGTTTGCCCCTCTAGCCCTGCTCGCCCCGCCGTCCCGTTAGTGCCCTTCCGGCCCGTTAGTGCCCTCCCGGCCCCGTTCGAGCCCCGTTGGCCCTGTTAGCGCCTCCCGGCCCCGTTAGTGCCCCGCCGGCCCCTTAGCGCCCCGCCGGCCCGCTTGTGCCCTCCCGGCCCCGTTAGCGCCCCGTTGGCCTCGTGCGCCCCTCTGGCCCTGCTCGCCCCACCGGCCCCGTCAGCGCCCCACCGGCCCTCGCCAGCCAGCCGCCCAGCCAGTCAGCTCCAGCCTAGCCGGCCCCCGCTTCGGCGGCCAGCCACCGGGCCGTCGAGTCCCAGAGCCGACCCACCGTCTCTGGCTCCCTTCAGTGCCGGCTCCCCTGCCGGCTGCCTCCACTGCTCTCCACCGCTCTCCACCGCACTTCACCGCACTCCACCGCACTCCACCGCACTCCACTACTCTTCATCGCACTCCACCACTCCCCATTGCCTCCTCCCTCTGTCCTCTTCGCTTTGTCAGCGGCCGTCAGCAGCTGCAGCAGTCGCGATGGCGGAGTCACAGCTCCGTCTGGATGCAGAGGGTCGGGCGCTCGACTTTGAGGCGTGGCTGGTCGACCTTCGACGTCACCTTACAGGTCAGCGCCAGGACGGTCACTCCCTGGCTGTGCATATCGATGGCCTGCTTCCCCGCCCCCCTGCGCCTGCTCCCCTCCCTGATGCCCCCACCACTGTTGAGCGTGAGGCCTTTTCCGTTGCTGCGCTGGATCCTGCCGTCTGGGACTCGCGCGACGCTGTCGCCCAGCTTGCTATCAGCCGTGCGCTCCTGTAGTCTGAGTGTCATCGCTTTACCACTGTAGCGAATGCCCAGGCCTTCCTAGATGCTGTCATTGCGCGCTATTCTATCCCAACCACTGCCTCTGCTAGTCGCCTGATCCTTCCCATGCTGTTCCCAGATCTTGCGTCATTTCCCTCTGTCGCTGACTTTGTCACGCACCTCCGCGCGCTTGAGACGAGCTACCGCGCTGCTAGCACTGAGGCACAGCTCGTTGCCTTCCCGCCACCGTTCTGCGCTACCCTTTATCTTATCGCTACGCGCCTCCCTGGCCGCCTTGCCACAGCCCGCGACCACTTCCTTAGTCAGCACCCGGGTGACCTCACTCTCACCGCCTTTGTTACAGCCCTGTCTGCGATAGAGAACCGCCAGCGCAGTATCGCTCAGTCTAGCGGTACTACGGCGGTACCTATCTTTCAGGGCTATGTTCCCTCCCAGTGCACTTACTCTGACGTCTCTGCTACTGTTACTGCGAGCGCTGCTGCGGCCTCAGCGCAGAAGCGTCCGGGTAAGGTTCGCCGTCCCAAAGGGGGGCGTGGTAGGGGGAAGGGGGGTGGAGGTGGGGAGGGTGGCGGCGGTGAGGGCGGGGACAGTGGTTCAGACGAGGGGACCGGGGTTGGCGCAGCCGTGGGGACCCCCGCCGCCGTGGTGGACTGGCGGCACTAGCGGCGGTGGTCGTGGGAGGGGCGGGCGCAGCTCGGTGTCGGGTGGCAGCTCAAGCGCGGTCACCTGCCGGTACTAGCTTCAGACCGACCCTCATCGCGGCACTGGCTGCCTCCGGCCCGGCCACACCGCCGACCGCTGCTACCGCCGTCTGGACGACCTGTTCCGCCACAGCTTCGGTCCTGCGGCGGACCCTCCGGGCTGGTACGCCCTGGCTCGTCGTCGTGTGCTGGTTTTTGAGCTTGACATGGATCAGATTAAGGTTGCTATGTCTGTCATGTATGCTGATGACTCTTGTGCGATTGGACCCTATTACCCGGTGTTGCCTAGCGTAGGTGTGTCCACTGTGTGTAGTCTAGGCTCCCCTACTGCGTCAAGCATAAGACCGTCTGCCTTGTTTAGCCTAGCTTCCACACCAGCCTCTCCGCCAGCTGCCACTAGTGCTTCGCTCTCCTTTACGCTTGACTCTGGTGCGTCTACCTGCTTCTTCCGCGACCACACTTCCCTTACGCCGCTTGCCGCCCCTGCCGCCGTCGCACTTGCAGACCCCTCCTCAAGTCCGGTAGTTGCACGTACAGTAGCTCCACCACCCTTCCCTGCTCGGCGGCCCCTTCGGGCACTCTTACAGGCCTGAACATCCCTTCGTTCTCTAGGAACCTAATTGGTGTCGGCTGTCTTCAGGACCTCGGCATCACCGCTACGTTCCCCGGACACAAGCGGTAGCAGTCTGCACCGAGGCCGCCACTAGTGCTCCCCTGACCACGTTCCCCCGGGACCATGTATCTGGCCTGTTTACGCTTGACACTGCGTCCCCCCCGGTGAGGGCGTCCCCCCAGGTAGCCGCGGCTTGCTTGTGTCGGTCACTCACTCACCCGTCGCTGCTGTGGCACCACCACCTAGGTCACCCTGTACTCCCGCGTCTACGTTATATGTCCCAACACGGTCTTCTCCTAGGTCTCCATGCGTTGCTCCCTTCCCTCCCTCCCTCGCCTGCGCCGTCGTGCACGCCCTACGTCGAGGGCCAGCTGTGCCGTGCTCCTCACTCCTCGCTTCGCTCTGCCACCGCGCCACTCTAGACTCTACACCTGGACGTCTGGGGTCCAGCTTACGTCCTAAGGCCGCGTCAAGAGCGCTACTTTCTGGTGCGTGTTGATGACTATACGCGCTACACCACGGTGTTTCCTCTGGAGCGGAAGGCCGACGTGCCTGACGTTCTTATCCCGTGGGTCGTAGCTGCTCGAGTCCGCCGAGGTCTCCTTGTGCTGTGTCCACACTCCTCCGTGGCGGCGAGTTTGCCTCCGGTTGGCTTGGCCGGTTCTGTCGTGCGGAGGGCATCACCCAGTCGTACACCCTGCCGGACTCCCCACAGCAGAATAAGGTCGCTTAGCGACGCATCGGCTTAGTCATGGAGGTGGCTCGTACCTCCTTGATCCATGCCGGTGCACCCCGTTTTCTGTGGCCGTTCGCTGTTCACTACGCCGCTCACTAGCTGAACCTGTGGCCCCACTCCCAGCGGCCACAGGTTTCACCGACCCTCCTCTGGACCGGGTCTCCTGGTGACGCGTCTGCGTTCCACGTCTCGGAATGCCTCGCTCACGTTCGTGTCTCTGGCACGGACAAGCTCACCGCCCGCATTGTCCCCTGTGTCTTCCTTGGTTTCCCCATTGACTCGTCTGACTGGCACTTTGACCACCCGCCGTCTCACCGCTTCCTTCACTCGCGTGACGTCACTTTCGACGAGTCTGTCTCGTTTTACCATCTCTTTCCCCACCGAGGTCTCCCGGTTTCCCCACCCCTGTTTCTGGTTCCCACTCCCCCGGTAGCCCCTGCTCCCCTCCCTCCCCGTCTTGCTCCGTCTGGTGTGTCTCATGTCACTCCCCTCCCGTCGGTTGTCCCGGTCGAGGAGCCGGCTGACTCTGGTGGCCCCGCGGCACAATTCTCGCCGCCTGCCTCTCCCCCCGTGTCTCCTCCCTTGTCGTCGCAGTCGCCGCCGCAGCCTTCGTCGCAGCCGCAGCAGCAGCCACAGCCGCCGCCGTAGCAGCAGCCATCGTCGCAGCAGCAGCAGCCGTTCGTGGACTCTGGGGGTGCTGGCTTTGAGGAGGGTGCTAGTCGTGGGGTTCCTGTCGTGGCTTGTCCCGGCGAGCTCGGAGGTAGCACCGGTGCTGGAGAGGGTTCTCGCTCTGGGGGTGCTCGTTCTGGGGGTGCTGGAGTGGAGTGTTCTGGAGGTATCCGTGGTGCCGCTGGCAGTCCAAGTGTCGGCGTTGAGCAGAAGCAGCAGCAGTGGTCGCTAGTTTCCGCCCTTTGCCTGCTCGGCCTTCCCTCCCCTGATCGCTCGCCTGCGCCTCCCCCGCCACCTCCTCCCCTTCCTGTTCACGGCCATGTGTTTCCGCCGCCGGACTCGTCCACGGCCCGTTTTCCACCTCGTTCCCCTCTTCTGTCTCCTCCTCTGTCTCCTGACTTGACGCCTCCGTCTCACGTCTGGTCACGCCGTCCCTCTCGTGCTCGTCATGTCTCTCCTGTTCAGCGTTCTCACCCCGTATTGCTTCGTTCCCACGTGTCTCGTCCTCCCCTCCTGCCTTACATCGACGCAGTTCCCTCACCTATGGTGAACATAGTCGATGGCCGGTGGCTCTTCAAGGTGAAGCGCCCTTCTGGAGAGCCGCTTGTCTTCAAGGCGCGCTACATGGTTAGAGGCTTCAGTCAGCGCGAGGAGGTGGAATTCTTTCAGACCTTCGCCCCGACCCCGAAGATTAATACTTTTCGGGTGCTGCTATACATAGCTGCACAGCATGACTACGAGCTCCACTCCCTCGACTTCTCCACTGATTTTCTTCAGGGCAGCCTACATAAGCAAGTCTACCTGCGCCGTCCACATGGCTTCACCGGTACCTTCCCTATTGGGACCTAGTGGCTCCTCCGGCGCCTGGTCTACGGCCTGCGACAGGCACCCCGTGAGTGGCACGACACGCTTCGTGCGACGCTAGCTGACCTGCAGTTCTTTCCGTCCTCTGCAGACCCCTCGCTCTTCGCTCGTGCTTACCAGACGTCATTCTACATCCTTGTCTACGTAGACGACCTGGTCTTCGCTACTGCTGACAGAGACGCACTAGCCTCCGTGAAGGTAGAGCTGCTGAAGAGACACACCTGCACTGATTTAGGAGAGCTGTGCCGCTACCTTAGCTTGCAGATCTTTAGGGACATAGCAGCGTGCACCATCACTCTCACACAGTCACACTTGGTGCGCCAGGTGCTTCAGAGGTTCGGTCTTCAGTTCTCCTCCGCACAGCCCACACCTCTGCCAGTAGACCACAGGCTCTCAGCTCTCGCGTCTGTTGCTCAGTCGAGCTGCGAGGTTGAGATCTACGCTGGTGCCATGGCGGCACAGGAGCTCCGCTGGCTGACCTTCTTGCTTGCCGACTTAGGTGAGCGGCCTAGCTCTGCCCCGGTTTTGTACGCTGACAACAGGGTCATGATCCTCCTGTTTTAGGAGCCTCGACTTAAAAGCAGAGCGAAGCACATCCAGCTGCGGTACTTCCTCCCGCGCGAGCTTCAGCATCGTCGCCAGGCCCGCGTAGTACACTTGGCCTCCGGTGCCAACACAGCTTATATCTTTACTAAGGTGCTTCCGCCTAGAGATCATCAGCGGCACTGCGTGCAGTTAGGTTTAGTCCCTGTTGAATCTCACTTGCTAAGCCCTTGATTGTGTACTCCTTTCTATTTATGCCTTCCAGACTGGCCTTGTGGCTTTTCCTCGAGTGGTTGGACTAGTAGTGCCGCCCTGGTTTGCTCTGTCTTGCGTGTACTCTTGCTGACTGGTATTCGGGCCCCTGCATCAGAGGTTGGACTAGTAGTGCCACTATGAGCTGCGTGTTTCTTGCTCAGCACTACCCCTTATCTAGCCTAGGGGGGCGGGGAAGGGGAGGGTGGGGGGGGGGCGAATCTTCAGCGAGGCACCATGGCTGGCGCGACGCTTACTGCGTGAGAGGGCGTGTCTTCAGCGAGGCACCATGGCTGGCGCAATGCTTACTGGCGTGGGGGCGTTACGACTGGCGCCTAGGTTAGGGCGCTGGCCGCAGCTGACAGTGCGCTGGCGTGGCAAAACCGCCACGGCAGCACGACGGCACGGCGACCCAGCGGCGCGGCGGCACCGTGGCACGGCGGCATGGCGGGACGGCGACACGGCGGCACTGAGGCACGACGATGTGACGGGTACGGTGCGGAGTGATGGGGCCGGCGCGGCGTGACGGGGTTGGCGCGGAGGGACGGGGCCAGCACTGCGTGTCTGGGCCAGCGCGGCGTGACGGGGCTAGCGCCGCGTTTATGGGGCCAGCGCGGAGTGACGGGGCCAGCGCGGAGGGACGGTGCCGGCGCGGCGTGACGGGGCCGGCGCGGCATGACGGGGCCAGCGCGGAGTGACGGGGCCAGCGCGGCATGACGGGGCCAGCGCGGCATGACGGGGGGGGGGGGGGGGGGGGATGGAGTATGCTGCGGAAGCGTGAGGAGAAGGCCCGAGCGAAAAGGGCCTGCTCTGATACCATGTTAAACTAAGGTAGCTAGGAGTAGGAGAAGGCCATTGAATGGCGTGAGGTTTAGGAAGGAGAAAGTTGAGGAGAGAAAAGAGGGAGAGACTAGGAAAAGAGAGGCATACAAGGAGGGAGTTGTACCATCTACAGTAGAGTTCGACAAACCTACCAAGCCTACCAATAATATAATAAAATATATAATTTAACAGCTAAGAAGGGTCCAAAGATCGTGCATGTTGTCCTTGCTGTAGTTGTGTCGAATAGAGTGACTTCTATCATGTAGCGTGAAAGAAATACGGTACGTGGACGTTTATTTATTTGAACGGATGCTTGCTAGTGCTTGGTGTCGTGAAGGTAGGATAGCTAGGACGCCATGACTATGGCGGCGGGGTTTAGCTAGGAGGAAGGCGAGGAGAATGTCGAGAGAAAAGGTCAATCAACTAGAAGAGAAACAGGTACAAGAAGGGGAGTTATCCCCTCTACAGTAGGATGCAGTAGCACAACTACCAAGCCTATAATTATATAAAAATATAATTTAAACACACCCCCTAGGCTTGGTAGTGGCAAGCCCACTCAACCCACACACACACCCCCTAACCCCGGACCCCCTCATTCTCGTGAGCAGCCAGGTATCGACCCCTCATACTAGGCGATGACACCCCCGGACGAGAGGCAGCTGGCCGCATCTGGGCGGCCTCAATGACGACAGCGGCAGAGCTCGTGCTCAAGGCGGCTGCGGTGATGAGGACAGGCGGCGACTGCGGCGGCTGAGGGCTCTCGGCGGTGTGGCACGACCTGGCGATGACCGAGCCGAAGACAGCAGCTGCGGCAGGAGGGAGAGGGGACGCAAGGAGAAGGGGTGGTGTAGAGGAGAGGGCGTTGGCTGGCGTGTGGGCGGCAGCAGCGTCACCGACGTCGCACGGTCGGCTGCAGCCCGACGGCGCCGTCAACGAGCGGCGTCGATGCTGCACGACGTGACGTCGATGCGGTATGACGTCGACGCCGCGACGCCAGTACGGCGGCGCTGTCACGCGACGGCCCGACGTCGACGGCGTCGCCACCATGAGGCCACCGCGGCATCTCAGAGAAGGTGCCACGGCAGCAGGCAATCTGAAGGTTGCGAAGGCGGCGAAGTAACAGAGAATTCGCAGCGGAAGAGTAGTGAGCAGGCCCGGAACGGGCGGCCTGCTCTAATACCATGTCGTAAAGGTAGGATAGCTAGGACGCCATGACTATGGCGGTGGGGTTTAGCTAGGAGGAAGGCGAGGAAAATGTCGAGAGAAAATGTCAATCAACTAGAAGAGAAACAGGTACAAGAAGGGGAGTTATCCCCTCTACAGTAGGATGCAGTAGCACAACTACCAAGCCTATAATTATGTAAAATATAATTTGAACACTTGGAACCAGGATGAGTAAAACGAAGCTACACAACAACAAAGCAGGAGACCAGACGGACAAGCAGAAATTACAACATGAGGATGGGAGCATGATAAACATGGTTATAAATTATATATTTAATATCATAAACAGCAGTGAAAGAGCAATTCAAACCTTCCTGCTGAAAGGCAAACAGCAGGCACGCTGCCAGCAAGCATCATTGGCAGAGTTGTGTATAGGGCGCATGTGGTACAGTGCGCCTCCCTCCCTCCCACAGGTTACATCAGCATGCTGCTGTCAATGCTAGTCAGTCGCACTGTCAGTATAAATACAAACCATTTGCTGTGCCAGTATTTCATCTCCCAGCAGCGCCTCTTGCTCCTGTACGGCAGCATACAACACTCAATTCAATTCCCTTCAACTGTGGTAAATGCTCGTGGCAGTCTCATGGCAGCATGTGCATTGGCCTCTTTGGCCCTCTCCACACTCCACTCCAGAAACACCTCAGGCCCCACCTCTCCCACCCCATCGTCATCATCCCCTTCCAAAGCCATTGTCAACTCCGGATTTCCCCCAAGCTCCGGCCTTACCGGCCCGCCATACCATCCTGCCTCCATCATCTTAATCATTCTGCCCGCCTCCTCTCCTCCAGCGTTCTTTGTGCCGTCTCCATGGGCAATCCCAGCTTCCACTAGTCTCAGCTTCTCTGTGTTCTCTGTTATCTCTGTGCCCTTTACCACTGTACTCCTCATGCCTGTACTCGTTTCAAGCACCAGCGTGCAGTTCTCCCCTTCCACCACCTCGGCCACAGCATCAGCCACAACACTCCGGATCTCTGCCATCACATTTCTGCGAGGACCCGTCTTATCTTGTAACGGGGCAAACGGTAGCGGGTCCTCCCCTTTCGCCTTGGCAATTCTCATCTTGAGCCGCAAAGCGGCGCCCTCCATGCCAGACCGATTCACTTCGCGCTTCTGGAGGTTCAAGTAGTTCCTGAGAACCCTCTTTGAAAACTCTAACCCGCTACCGTCCTTCACACGCTCGAGTGGCGGCTGCTCGCTTACTCCCCCCTGCTGGTCCTGCTCCTGCTGCTGCTGCTGCTGCTGCTGCTGCTGCTGCTGCTGCAGCTGATTCTGCTCCGCTTGCTTCTGCCAGGGGCTCTGAAGCCGCAGTAGCAAGGCAGCGCGGACCAGTCCATTCAACCCCGAACCAACAGCAAGAGCTCCCGCAGTGCCGGCAATTGCGAATCCGAGCCCGATCAATGGCAGCGATTGCTGCACCTCACCCCCTCTACCAGGAACAAACGCCTGTGTCACCGACGCCACAACACCTTGTCTTGTGTTGTCTGTTCCTGCGGGTTTACCCCCCGGGCCTTTGCTCCATCCATGGAGGTGCACGGTCCGACCCAGATGCTTTCTTGCGGCGAAGAAGTTTGCAAACCCATTCAGGTCGTTGGAGAAACGGTGCTTCTCGCACTCGGCCGCAGAAGACGCGACAGCGGCAGCAGAAGAAGCATGGGAGTGAGCATCAGGCGCGTCGGCAGCATCAGCAGAAGCATTCGTAGAAGGTTCTGCGACAGCAGCAGCGGCAGCAGCAGCAGGAGGAGCAGATGTTGCCAACAGAGAAGGCGAGAACCCCTCACAAGTAGCAGGGGTTGAAGAGACAGTGACACGATTAGCAGGACTGGCAGTGACAGCACCAGAGGAATGCTTCAACCATCCCCTCACACTCATCGCCGTTCCCCTGCCAGTGGGAGCTGCCCGGCAGCTAGTGAGGCACACGCCTGCAGGAGCAGCGACAGGCGCAGTTGCTGCAGGAACGGCGCTAGCTCCGCTGGAGCCACTGCTGCTACGGCTGGTGATGGTGGTGGTGATGGTGGTGGTGGTGCTGGTGGCGCTGGTGGTGGTGGTTGTTCCGTCGGCGGCGCTACCGCTGCTGTCCGTGCACACGCGCACGCACTCTTCAGAGCCGGTGGGAAAGCTGGACTGCCTGGAGTTGGATCCGTGGTTCTCGCGAATGTGGAGAGACACGAATTGGGAGCGCCCTGACGACGCCTGCGCCTGCGCCTGCGACTCTGGCTGCGACTCTGAAGATGCGGCGGAAGGTGAGGCGAATGGAGCATTCTTCGCTTCCTGCGTATGCGACTCTGGCTGCAAATTCTGCTGCGACAGAGCCTTCCGCTCTTTTCGTGCCGAAGACGGCAGATACAGCACCTCGCCGATGCGAATGCTCGGCGATGATTTACTGTTCGCCGCGAGAAGCGTGTCCACAGGAATGGAGTAGTCGGATGCGATGGAGAAGACGGTTTCCCCGGCGGACACGGAGTGGATTCGCACTGAAACCGTTACCTTTCCGCCATGAGATAAACTGCTGCTCTTCCTGAAGCTGCTGTTATCGAGAATCCCATTATTGAACGCTTCATTGTCGAAGTCATTCTCGTGTTTATGAACGGTCGGACCGCGTACTGCTCTGCCGTGGTCTTGACCACTAACAGTGAAGTGCTGATGCTCCTGGGGAACGCAGATAAGGAAAGAAGAGAAACAACTTCAGTAAAGAGTTTTGCAGCGAAGAATAGACAGACCAGATTCGTAATAATGCCAGAGAGGAAAAGATGGACGTATGGTCGGTATCTACGTCAGATTGACGCTTGTAGAATGGAAAGAGCGTTCACAAGAACGCCACGTTACATAATCCTGCAGTGTGAACATATTAGTAGACTTCTGGTGTAAAAAGCTGCAAGGAGCACAATCAATGTGGAAAGGTAAGGAGCAAATTTGTCTGCAACTTTAACCTTTTGCGAAATAGAGCTTCGAGTTGCTGAAGAGGAATTCGCACGACATTGAGACTTTCCGCGATTGTTTCGCAAGCGTAGAAGGCTGTGTCGTGGCGAATCCAAGAAAGGCGCTTCGGACAGAAGCCGAAAGCCTCCTTGCGAGGGAACGCGAATAGGGGACATCATGGTAAAGAGCTACTACGATATTGTCAACATTGGCCAGCGACAGGGATGAAGTATAGCGCACATCGGAAGAGCGAGTCCGCTGAAGAGACCGAAATAAATGCCTGAATAACTTCTGCAGGTTCCAGAAACAACCAGCGGATCAGATGGTAAATGTCAGGGAAATGTGAAATCTGGTGAAGATTGGAAGGAGCGGATGAGGGGGACGAAGACCCAGTTCGGTATGCTCTAGGACCCTCTTGCTGGAACAGCTGGTGGGGGGGTTTGGGGGAGAATGTGTGTGGTGGTGGGTGGTGGATGATTTGGTTCGGTAGGGGGAAAGCTCTGCTCGCGAGGGGAAGTGGGGGAAGTGAGGGGAAATGCGCAGCTCAACGCGGTGAGAGGCGCTGGGTGAAAGCGGGCGCGGGGAATTCGCGGGGGGATGAAGCTGTGTGATTTGATGAGTGGCTGTAACGCGCCCATTGGCTCTCAGATCCGAGGGGGATGGAGGGAAATGTGGGGGGAGGCGGAGTCTTGCGCCCAAGTATCAGGCTCGGAATGCAACCACACCCAAAGTTTCTCGGGAATCGCTTGTTTCCTGGTTTGGCATTCTGACCTGGTTTGGCCCTCAGCCCCGGTCTGGTTTGGCCCCTACGAGTTCGATGACTGAACCTGACCTGACTCCTGACCCGTGTTTCTGAGTTTCTGACGTACTATTTTCACGGGCTGTATCTTCTCGATACATTTGAAACTATCTGAAGGTGCAGAAAACGGGCAATTACTTCTCCATCATGCGTATAACCTGTTCGGAAACCAGCTCATTACGTGAGTTGTTTGTTCCCCAATACACTCTGTTTTCGGGGCGTCGGATGAAAATAAACACTTGTTCCAAACTGCAGGGTTTAGGCTCGACATCACTGTACTTCCAGCCAAACCGAGGATGCAACGCAAAGCTTCGACACAGGGAAAACCGCGACAATCTCCCCCAAATGCCCATGGACCAGGCGCCACCATCCCCCCCCCCCCCTTCTTCCTGTTCCCCCTTTCCCAAGCTGAACTTGACAGATTCACGTCAGCAGCATGACTCTCTTGCACTAGAGAGACGCAACCACATCGGCAGATTCACCTGCGACCTCATCCCTCCAAGCTGGCAGATTCATGTGTGACCCGTGCGTGTTGCGTCAGTTACCACTCGGAACGAGATAGATTGTTCGTAGACGATGGAGACGAAGACGTTGCAGCTGCTGGATAGCGCCGACGCCGTCGTGCGGCTGCGCCACGTGCTCGCCACGCAGCTGCAGCACGGCTGGATGGACCTCGCCGCCGCCCGTTACAGTCACGCGTCGTCGCCTCTGGGTGACGGTGGGCTGATGCATCTCGTAGGGTGTGCGACGTCGCACCGGGCGTCGCCAGGCGACTCAAATCGAGCGAGCGAAGATGGCGAGGAAAAGGGAGAAGATCCTCGGCTTGTCAGGGTATGCGTTTCAGGAGGAGGAATCGGGAATGACGACGACAGGCGCGAAGGACAGCATGAGGGGAATGCGATCGAAAAAGAGTGCTCCAGGTGTCCATATTTTCAAATTCGCTGGCCTTGCGCGGTTCCTTGTAAGGATTGCACGAGCAGCAGCAGTGGCGGCGCCAGCATCAGCAGCGGCTGCATCGGTTGCTGGATCCGCCAAGAGAGCTCGTCTGCTCTTCCAGAGGCAGATGTTGATCGTCTGAATCTAACCAGCGAAAGCCTTCAAGATTCCGGTCACCCAGAAGCGAGATCTGCGGGTGTGAGCTACGGTAAGCCATTGCCCCTAGCGGGGTTGGCGCATCCGTCACTGCGATCAGCGCAGAGCAAATTCGCCCGCGCTCTCGCTGTGGCTGTGGAAGTGGCTTCCTTGCAGCAACAGGTGGCTTCTCTTGAGAGACAGGTTCAGTCAGGCATGCACGCTGTGAAGTGTGCCGCAGCGGAAGGGTGAGGTAGCGGAGGAGTGAGGAGAGGAGATGTACTTAAAAGCGCCCGCGCACTGGCTGTGGCTGTGGAAGTGGCTTTCTTGCAGCAACAGGTGGCCTCCCTCGAGAGACAGGTTCAGTCAGGCATGCAATCTGTGATGTGTGAGGCAGCGGAGGAGTGAGGAGAGCGTGAGAAGGGAATCGACATGGGAAGTGGATTGCAGAGAAAGACAATGTTGAGAATGGAAGGTGGGAGTGAGGAGATGGAATGGTGATTTTTGGAGGCAACTGGTGGCGAGGATGTGATGTGGGTGTGGGAGGTGAGCTTCAATTGATGGTTGCTTTGTCTCAATGTGGCACTGTGATCTATTGAGATAATGTTAGCTGACGGGATATGCACACCTGCGTGTACATACGACTTTGAATCTCTTCTATCATGACTTATATCGTGATAGGGAGGGAGGGACATGTTTTGTGTACGTTTAAGATGTTTATTCCAAACTTTAAGTAATACCACTATGTCGATTGGATAACGGAGCTCACAATAACCTGACTCTCGTCAGAAGTCTCCTCGAGAACTCCCTTTTCCTGAAACCTGGGGCGTAGGAGACCTGAAATTACGTGGCACGGACTGGCCCACAAATATCGCCTCGCGTTGCAAATTGCAATTTGCTGCGCATCTCTCCTCCTATCCTTCCGTTTCTTTCTCATGGCTCCTCTCACTGCTCCCACCAGGGCTTCCTTCCCTCCACCGTCGGTCACGCAGCGCAGCCTGAAGAAAGTCCTGAAGAAGCAATTCGCGGTAGTCTCGAGATCGGTTGAAGATTTGAAGTTTCAAAGACGAGTTGTCTTTGCTCCTGAGTGGGATCATTATTCGTCCCCTCTCCTCTAGCACAGCTTATGCAAATCTGACGCTGGGAAGCATTGACTATGGCGGCGGGTTCCATGAAGAGTGTCCTTACGCAGCAGATTCCACGTCTCGAGAGCACGTTCGAGTCGCATGACAACTTCATGACCTCGGGCTTTCGGTTTGATAGCCTACGGAGAATCTGTTCGGGAGGAAAGTACGTTTCTGTCGAACGTCCGTCACTGTGTTCGTCAATTTCCGTCAGCCGTCGGAAATCGTTTCGATTCGGACCCGCTCGAGCCTCTTCGTCCAACTCCCCGCAATCTCCGTCGCCGTCTGCTTCAGCGCCGAAGGAAAATCATCAGCAGCAGCAGCCGCTGCAACCGCTGCAACCGCTGCAGCAACAGAAGTCAGATGTGACTCAAAGCATAGGTTCTTCTAGGGAGGGTGATGCCACTCAAGCACGACCAGGTTCAGAGGACGGTGAGTGTGAGCAGTTTGACTAAAACAGGTGCTAACAGCGAAACAAGGGGGTCACCTATCACACAGCCAGTTGCTGCACGCTTGGAGCAATCAATTGGTGAAAGCGCCAAACACTTTCTGGCTTTTGTGCACAAGCTGCCGATTCAAAGCACTCCCCATAAGATTAGCACTCCTTGTATGCTGTGCATATGTGCATATGTGCGTGCATGACTGCTGTATTTTTTCCCATCTCCTCTTCGCCCTCCACAGCCACCCACTTCAGCTGGCCCACTCTCCTGGCCTGTCTGTTTGTGGCGGGATTCGCCCTGGGACCGCCTCTGGACGGCATTCACTCCGTGGTGGGCCTGCAGGTACGGGTCTCACCCGTTGCTCTCCCCCCCTTTCCCCTCTGCATGCCATCTCCCCTTACTTCCTCTTACAATACCATCCCCGCTTGCTTCCTCGCGGCTGGGCTCGCCCTGGGACCGCCTCTGGACGGCATTCACTCCGTGGTGGGCCTACAGGTATGGGTGTCCGTTCTCTCCCCCGCTTTCTTTCGTTCTCTCCCCCGCTTTCTTTCGTTCTCTCCCCGCTTTCTTTCGTTCTCTCCCCGCTTTCTTTCCGTCTCTCCCCGCTTTCTTTCGTCTCTCCCGCTTCCTTTCCGTCTCTCCCCGCTTTCTTTCCTTCTCTCCTGTCATTCTTCCCCTGCCACGTCATCGTCCCCAAGTTATGCCATATTTCTTCACCATCCATTCTCGTGCTCCATCTATGGTGGTCAAAGATCCCCTCTATAATCATCCTCCTTCAGGTGTATGATGTCAACGGAGGGCTCATCCTGGGAGGCCCGGACGGCCTATACACCAGCGTCTGGGTCTTCCCTCTGCTAAGTGCCATGTGCACTGTGGTCGGTGGGCTGCAGCTGCTCATTGACAAATCAGCACACCTCTTCCCCCTCAGCTGCTTTTCCCTTCACCCCCCCGCTCTCCAGGTGTATGACGTCAATGGAGGGCTCCTGCTGGGAGGCCCGGACGGCCTATACACTTCTAGTGCCTGGGTCTTCCCTCTGCTGGGTGCTAGGTGCCATGCGCGCTGTGGTCGGCGGGCTGCAGAGCAGCCGCTCATCAACCAATCTGCACACCTCGTCCCCCTCGTATCCGTTTACCATCCCTCCCTTCAGGTGTATGACGTGAATGGAGGGCTCATGATAGGGGGCCCGGACGGGCTATACACCAGCGTCTGGGTCTTCCCTCTGCTGGGCGCCATGTATGCTGTCGTCGGTGGGCTGCAGCTGCTCATTGACCAATTAGCACTCGGATCGGGGCCTCAACACTCGGCTCTGGGAGCGCCGTCCTCTGCCTCGCCTGAGGACCGATCGGCACCCGCTTCGTGGTTCTCCCTTGCCTCCTCCCCTCCCAAGGGTTCCTGGCTGCGTCTGCTCAGCTGCATGGGGTGAGCTGCTGCTGTGAGTTGGTTGCTGTGATGTTCCTTTCTGTACCCCCTTTCCCCTTCTCTCTCTGTGCTCATCAGCCTCCTCTACTTCGGCTCGCTCCTCTATGAGCCGGATTCCATCCCCTCTACAGTCATCTCTACTACCCTCGCACTGTGCTTATATCCAACCCTCCACAACCCTCCCCTCTCCTCCCCTCCCCCCCTCCTCCCCTCCCTTCCTTCCCCAATCCCCCCTCTCGCCTGCAGTGTGCTCATCAGTCTCCTCCACTTCAGCTCGCTGCTCTTCGAGGCGGAATCCATCCCCTCTACAGTCATCTTCGCCATCCTGGCAGTGTGCGCCCATGCCAACTGGCTTGCCTTTGACCGCACCCTCCCCGGGTACCTCCTTGCCTGGTTTGTGGCTCTGGGCGCTCCTGCATCAGAAGTGCTTATAATGAAGTAAGTGTGAGGGAGTGGGTAAGATGGCTGGCAACTGGCTTGCCTTTGACCGCACCCCTCCTCCTGGCTATCTGCTAGTGCTATATGGTAGCACGAGTTGAGTGTGCAAAAGTTTTTAGTTCAGTGTTCTGGACATAAGTTGCAGCATCGATACCCGCTGTTCAGCCTGGTGCTTGCCTGTGCCCCAGTGCGTGCCAATGCTCGCTGTATCCTTAACTCTCTCCTCGCCTTCGCGCGCTCTCCCCTCCTGTGGCTGTGCGTCAGGTACTTTGGTATCTGGCACTACACTCAACCGGACATCTTCATTGCCGGAGAGGTAACCATGTAACACTAGGATGTTACATCTTCAGGCCTATGTTGCAAAAGCTCTGCCAGATCGTTTTTAGCAACGTAGCTTCAGGCAGTCCAATACAAGCTCTCACTCACTCCCATTGCTCGACTTGTTGCTCCTGTTTAAACCCCACCCATCCTCCCCCCCCCCCCCCTCCTTTCCTCCTCTCCCCAAGGTCCGTGTCCCGTGGATGGTCTTGTCCCAAGGTCCTTTCTGCCACACTTAACATGGGTGCTCTACAGCCCTCCTCACCGCACTGCACCACCTCAGATTCCTCACTCCCTCCCTCTGCTCTTCTTGCTGCTCCTGGGACACCTCCCTGCCGACCCCTCCTTGCTGACCCCTCCCGGCTGCCGAACCCCCTTCCCCCCTGCTCCCACAGGGCCTTGTCTCTTGGACTGCCTGGTGTTACTTCTTCTACACCCAATGGGTTGCCACTGTAGCTCGCACATTTGCTGCCTCTCTTACTCCCAATAGCCCAGCTCTGGACGAGCTCAGATGGTAGTTTTACAATAGGCAGTACAGTGTTTTTCAATCTGAAACCATTTATATAAATACAGTACGGAAGTATAATGGTAAATATACAGGAGGAGCATCCCCAGGATTCTCATGAATGGGGATGAGGATGTCATTGCCACTTTCTTTCAATCATAGTCGCCTTCTTCCCAAAACCCCAACCAACCACCATCTCATCAGCGCTTCTTTCCCCAAGTTGAATATCTCTGCTAGCACTCACTCGCACCTTGGAGGCCTGGCTATCAAGCCGACTCAATAGTCACTGACACCATCTCATGCTTGCTTCTTCACCAAGTTGAATATCTCTGCCAGCCGTGCGTGCATCTCCAGCCGTGTAAGCACCTGCACCTTGGAGGCCCGGCTGTCCACTATGGACCTGCCATGTGTGGTGCCATGCCATGCCATGCCATTTGACGTAGCACAGAACCAAGGAGCGCAAGGAGGTACATGCAAGAAGCAAGCCAGACATAGCTGAGTGCAATTCTTCTGCATTCCAATGCATATCTTCTGTCTAAACGATGGGTGTAGGCACATCGAAGTTATATGCGGCATGTGTGTATGTGATCACCACAGGCTAGCCAGTCTAGGAGGTTTCACAGACTGCATTTTTTACGAAAAACGATGGAGAATCACGGGGAAGGGAATCGAGTGATGGAGGGGAAGGGAAGAAGCAAGACGAGGAGACAAGGGAGGGTGCCTTGATGGCGAGAGGCGGGAAGGATGAAACGAGTAAGGCGAAAAGAGTGACACCTCTTTTTGCCTCTTTTTGCCTCTCTTTGCCTCTCCTCGTCACTAAGTCCCCCTTCACTGCCTTCTGTTCTTGCTTCTTCCCTCCTCCTTCATCAGTCATCAGTCGCCTCATGCATTTCTCCTCAATCTCCGCTCACCTTTTTTTCGACATGTGTTGTTGATCCCCTCTTGCCTGTGTCTATCCAGGAAGCCGGTGTACTGCAGCACACATTCTATTTTTGAGGCGCCTCAAAAATAGACTCCTCACGCACGGAAGTCGGTGTACTGCAGCACACATTCGACGCCACCTCGAGCTTCACGAGGGCACTTGCTTTTATCACCGGCCCTTATCACCAGCGCTAACATGCCCTTATCACCTAGTGCTTATCAAAACTGCTTATCACCGGCGCTTATCACCGGCGCTTATCACATGTGGCTGTGCCACCTAAGTCCCTCTTAAAGCCCACTTGTGTCTATCTAGGAAGTCGGTGTATCGCAGCAGCACCTACGACGCCATCTCGAGCTTCACAAACGATCTATCCGTGCACTTGACAACGCACACACGGTGGCTATCCAATCATGCTGAAGGGGGACCTATCTTGAGTCCCCTTAAAGCCCACCTGTGTCTATCACCTGGGCTTGTCCCCGTAAAGCCCACCTGTGTCTATCCAAGAAGTCAGTGTATCGCAGCAGCACCTGCGACACCACCTCCAGCTTCACAAGCGCCCGCAGGTCGCCATTCACGATGGTCCATCCTCTCTGGTGCGCCTGGATGTCATCCAGCAGGGCGTGCAGCGCCTGCAGCCGCTTCATGAACGCTTGCAGGTCCCCCCGATGATCAGACAGCACAGTGGCTACCTGGTGGTGGGAGGGCCCATTGGGGGTGAGGACGTGTAGGCAGGTCAGCATTCACGATGGTCCATCCGCGCTGGTGCACCTGCATCTACAGGGGATACAGGGGCTACGCTGCTGAATGCCGTCCAGCAGGGTGTGCAGCGCCTGCAGCCGCTTGGTGAACGCTTGCAAGTCCACCTGACGGGATGGACAGTCGGGGGATGGGGATGTCCAAGGTTGAGAGAGTGAGCTTTGGGGATTGAAAGTCGTCCAGCAGGGCGTACAACGCCTGCAGCCGCTTCATGAAAGCTTGCAAGTCCCCCCAAGGATCCGAAAGCACTGTGGCCACCTGGTGGGAGGGACGATTGGGGCGCATTGGGGCATCCAGGAGTCGATTTTTGAGTCGACTAAAAAATCGACTCCATCTTCTCTGGTGCGCCTGGATGTCGTCCAGCAGGGCGTACAATCCTGCAGCCGCTTCCTGAAGGGTTGGTTGAATGATAAGGGGCAAGAGATAGGGAGGACGGTACATCGAATGTAGCCGTCTCACCTTATTCACGATACATCGAATGTAGCCGTCTCACCGTATTCACGATACGTCGAATGTAGCCGTCTCACCTTATTCACGATACGTTGAATGTTTCCGTCGCACCTTACTCGGTATACATCTAATGTAGCCGTCTCACCTTGCTAACGATACACCGGATGTAGCCGTCTCGATGCTTCTCAAGCTCCTTTGCATTGTCATCCACCCATACCCGCCCTAGAATCTCCTTCACATGCTGCCTGCTATGCACACATGCATGCAGGATGTTAGATTAGATCGATGCACGTACATTGCCATCCACCCTTGCCCTCCCCCTAGAATCTCCTTCACATGCTGCCTGTCATGCATACGGATGCACATGCATGCGCCGCGTTATGATTAGCCCTGTGCAGGTTGACTGGAAAGTACAATAGAATCACGGCTAAATGATTAGCATTGTGAGTACATTTAGAGCTTAGAGGCACTTAGAACTTGGAGGAGTGAGTGGGTCTAAATTAAGCAAATTAGGGGCACTTAGCTTCGTTTTCTGACAGCAAGAGCCTTGCAATGTCATGGCGCTGTGCATGCATCGCATGGCATGCATGTGCCCAGGGTGGGCAGGTCTGTCACCCACTCGGACCACAGTGGAGTCACTTTTTAAATTTATTTTTAGTAAATCACTCAGACCTCCCCACCCTATGCTGAATGGTCCAATGCTCCAAGAGTTGCATCGTCAAAATAGTGATTCGAGTTAACATGCATGCAGACTTCAAACTCACTCGCTCCTCCAGTTAGTGCTGCCAGTACTCGCAGTTGTTCACGAGAAAGAAAGCTTTTTAATAAAATCATGAGTCATGATATGCAAGGATGTGAAGCCCACCAACCCACAAATCCACTCACTCCTCCACTTTGCGCTGGATGTTCTTGCACATGTTCATGAGGAAGATCTAAAGCCGACTCAACAGACACCAGAGGCCAAACCTCACGCATCGCTATCGCCCAACTCTCAAGATCGCCCAATTCTCAAGATCGCCCAACTCTCAAGATCGCCCAACACTCAAGATCGCCCAACACTCAAGATCGCCCAACACTCAAGATCGCCCAACACTCAAGATCGCCCAACTCTCAAGATCGCCCAACACTCAAGATCGCCCAACAATCAAGATCGCCCAACAATCAAGATCGCCCAACACTCAAGATCGCCCACCACTCAAGATCGCCCACCACTCAAGATCGTCCAGCATTCAAGATCGCCCAGCACTCAAGATCGCCCGACTCTCAAGATCGCCCAACACTCAAGATCGCCCAGCACTCAAGATCGCCCAACTCTCAAGATCGCCCAACACTCAAGATCGCCCACCACTCAAGATTGCCCCACCACTCAAGATCGCCCAGCACTCAAGATCGCCCAACACTCAGGATCACCCAACTCTCAAGATCGCCCAACACTCAAGATCGCCCAACACTCTTTGTGCAATCAACCACTCACTCCTCCACTTTGCGCTGGATGTACTCGCAGTTGTTCATGAGGAAGATCGCCCGCATCATCTCATCATGGAAGGCGTCTCCCTTGCGCTCCAGGTTCAGCTTCAGCGCTGACAGCAGCGAGCGCGTCGCCACGCCCACCCTCATGGCTCCTACTTCTTGGTTGCCCTCCTCGTCATACACAAGAAGCAGTGTGCTCAGGTAGAGTGTCCTGCAGACACAGACAGGTAGGGTTGGGAGGAGGGTTGGGGAAGGGGGGGGTGAGTGGCCACGCCCACCCTCATGCCTCCTAATTCTTGGTTGCCCTCCCCGCCGTACACCAGTAGCAGTGTGGTCAGGTAGAGCGTTCTGAGGACACGGAGAGAGAAGCAGGGTTTGGGGGGGGGTGGTGGGGGAGGGGGGTTGAGTCGCTATGCCCACCTGCATGGCGCCCACCTCCTGTTTGCCCTCCTCGTCGTACACCAGCAGCAGTGTGTTGAGGTAGAGCGTTCTGAGGACACAGGGACGTGGGAGGGGGGGAATAGGGATCGCGTTGGGAAGGGAGCAGGGGGCAGAGCGGGGGGGCATTGGCCCTGTCTCGTCACGGAAGGCGTCTCCCTTGCGCTCCAGGTTCAGCTTCAGCGCTGACTGCATCGTACACCAGCAGTATTGTGCTCAGATAGAGGGTCCTGCCGACACAGACAGGTAGAATAGGGAGGGGGTTTGGGGGGAGGGGGGTTGGGGGAAGGGGGGGTTGAGTCCCCATTCCCCACCCACCCTCATGCCCCCCACCGTATAGCGTTGGATTCCACATCGCCGCAGAGTGAAGGTATTGGCACTCACTGGTAGAACTAGTACAGAATGGCGTTGACGTGGAGTCTCCTAACACTCACTGGTCGAAGTAGAGCAGGATGAAGTTGACCACGTAGCTTGTGAGCGGGTGCACATCCGGACTCCCTTTTTGAGCCGCCTCCTGGCCCGTGGGGCTAGCAACCTCCTTACCCTCCCCCCGGCTCTCCCCCTTCGCCTTCCCCCTCGCCTCCCCCTTCCCCTCCTCCTGCCCCTTGCCAGCTTTCTTGGGTAAAAGCCCCCCCAGGATCCCCCCTCCCTTGGATCCGCTCCCGCTGACCGTCCGATTGTGCGATCCACCCCCCCCATGATGAGATCGATGGCTGGAATCCGATCTGTGGCTTGAGTCTAGATCCAATCCCTCCCCATGGCTCCACCCCCCTCCTCCTCCTCCTCCTCCTCCTCCTCCCTCCCCGTCCTCCTCTCTCCCTCCCTCCTCCCTCCTCTCCTCCCCTCCCTCCCGCCCAGCATGTAAAGCGGTGGAAAGAGAGGGAGGGGTGGGGGAGGAGGCGGAGGGGGAGGAGGTGGAGGCGAGGGAGGAGGCGGGGGGAGCGAGGGGCTGTGTTGGATCCGATTGGACGATGAGCTGGAAGTCTGCTATGGTGCGGCGCACGGTGCCGCAGAGAGAGGAGCAGATGAGGAAGAGGTGGTGCCGCACCTCGCCCCCTGCCTCCCCAGGAAACTGCTGCTCCACCTGCCAGGAGGGCGGGGTGAAGAAGGGGGAGGAGAAGGGGTGGGGGACAAGCAGCAAGGGGAGCGTGGGGTTGCGTGGGGTTGCGAGGGGTTGCGTGGGGTGGGATCGCACGATCAGCTGGAAGCCTGCTATGGTGCGACGCACAGTGCCACAGAGAGCGGAGGTAGAGCACGTGCTCTGGTACAGTGCCTCTGGCACGTCCGCATCATCACAATATCCCCAAACCGAACGAGTCACTGCCTCATGATCACCACACCCCCTGCTCTCTCTTACCGCTGGCCTCAGCTCTAGCAAGTGCCTCCACGGTCTCGAGCAGGGAGAACAAGGATATGCAGCGAGCACTGGAACACCAACAGCACCGATTGCCCCAATCCCCCCTTACTTACCGCTGGCCTCAGATCCAGAAGAACCTCCACCATCCAGAGCAGCGAGAACACGTGCTCCGGTGCCCGCCGCATGTCACAAATAGATCCCCTCCCCCCCCCCACCCCCACCCCTCTCTGCACTCACCGCTGGCCTCAGATCCAAGAGAGCTTCCACCATCTCGAGCAGGGAGAAGACGTGCTCCGGTGCGCGCCGCATGTCTGCAATGATGTCCCCAAAGGAGTGCAGCTGCTTCAGCGACGGCAGCGCCACGGCTGTGAGGCACCGCGCTCTGGCGTCGGACGAGAGAGAGCGACCGATGATGTCGCTGCACACAGCTTGCTCTGCTGTGATCAGAACGAGCATCTGGGGAAGAGGGGGGGGGGGGAGGGAGGGGAGGGAAAGATGGGAGCGCCATGGCTGTGAGGCACCACGCCCTGGCGTCGGACGAGAGGCTGCGACCGATGATGTCACTGCACACAGCTTGATCTGCTGCAATCAAGACAAGCATCTGGGGGGAAAGGAGGGGGGGGAGAGGGCAGTATGGAACGGCAGCTCGCCACTGCAGTGAGGGCACCGGGCCCTGGAGTCTGATGAGAGAGAGCGACCGATGATGTCGTGGCACATGGCTTGCTCTGCTGCAATCAGAGCAAGCATCTGGGGATAAGGGGGTTGGCAAAGGGGGGCAGCAAAGGGGGGCGGGGGGGTGGGGGGAGAGAGAGGGAGGGGGATCTGACTTCTGTATTTTGATTCGACTCAAAATACACAAGGGAGGGGGATCTGACTTTTGTATTTTGAGTCGACTCAAAAAACACAAGGGAGGGGGATCTGACTTTTGAGGCTCTTTTTAACACGGAGGAGGATTTGACTTTTGAGGCCTTGGAGCAAGCGACTCCAATCAATCATCTCAATCGCACAGCACCACACTAGAAAGCGCACATAATTGTAGCCTTCGATCGCAGTAGCCCTCATTACCATGAGCTTGAGATTCTCCACCCATCGCTTCATCAGCGGCTCCAGCTCCACCCACGGCAGCGCTGCTACTACTGATGTTATGGTGAAGCTTCACTACAGTACGCTTCATTACAGTACACCTGAGGCGCTCAGCCCACCATGAGCTTGAGGTTCTCCACCCATCGCTTCATCAGCGGCTCCAGCTCCACCCATGGCAGCGCTGCCACCTCGTCCCGCTTCAACGCCGTGGTTCCTAGCCGCTCCAAACAGCGCAGGAGAGCTGCAGAGCGGTGCTCCCTGCAGAGGACGGGGGAAAGGAGAAAGGGAGAGAGGGAGAGAGGAAGAGATGGAGAGAGAGAGAGGAAGTAGGCAATACAAGGACCGCTTGAGAGAGGGGGGGCAGAGTGAGAGGGGCGAAGGGGGAAAGGCGGAGGTTGAAAAGCAAAAAATTCTTAGTGGCACAGTGAAAAAACGAAGAAGAAACTTACTGGTACAGTAAGAGGCACGCCGACTCGTATTTATTCCCCAGCATCCAGCCAGCCATGGAGCGAAGCGGCTTCACAGCCTCGGGCCGAACCAGAGGCATGGGCGGCACCACCTCCCCTGGCTTCTTGCAGGCTACTGACTGGAGCAGGGCTTTCCTCTCGGGGACCAGACTGCAAATAGGGGAAGAACGAGGGTGGCGGTGGGGTGGGGGGCGGTTTTTGAGTCTACTAAAAAATCGACTCATTACAAACGAGGGTGGCGGTGGGGTGGGGGGCGGGTCGGAAGGAAAGGGAAAGGAGAGTCGTAAGCAGAGGCACGGGCGGGCGGCGCGGCACCACCTCTGGCTTCCTGCAGGCTACCGACTAGAGCAGGGCTTTCCTCTAAGGGATCAGACTGCGAGAGAGGGAGCAGAGAGGGAGGAGGGGGCACACGGGAGGGCTGCTTTTGAGTCAACTCAAAAGCACTACTACAAGGGCTTTCCTCTCGGGTATCAGAATGACAGTGGGGGGAGAATGGTGGGTGGCGGTGGGGTGTGGGGGCGGGCAGGACGGAAAGGGAAAAGAGAGTTGGAAGCAGAGGCACGGGCGGGCAGCACCACCTCGCCTGGCTTCCTGCAGGCTACTGACTGGAGCAGGGCTTTCCTCTCGGGGACCAGACTGCGAGAGAGGGGGTAGAGGCAGCAGGGGAAACACGGGAGGGGAGGTGGGTGGGGATGCCAGGTGGGGATGCCAGGTGGGGTGAATGCGGGTGGGGTGAATGCGGGTGGGGTGAATGCGGGTGGGGTGGATGGGGGTGGGGTGGATGGGTGGGGAGGAGAGGGAAGAGAGGATGCATGGGCGGGACCACCTCGGCTCGCTTCTGGCGCGGCATGGACTGCAGGCACCCACAGCTCCAAGCGGCAGCTGCCCAGGTACTACCGTACTAACTGTGCGCTCGCCTCTCTCTGAAGCTCACCTTGCACCGGACAGCACCTCCCCGAACTCCTCTCTCAGTCGCCCCACAGCACCGTCCAGCAGCCCCTTCCCCTGCCGCAGCTCGAACCGGCAGCTGCCCAGGTAGCTGTGCGCCTCGAAGAACTGCAGCGCGTCAGCCAGCCTATCGAGCGCTTTAAGGAATGAATCTAGACGGTTCCTTGGTCCAGGCTCCAGCTCTGGTGCCACCTGATTGGTTCAAGTTGGGGGGGGGGGTGGGGGGGAAGATGGTTTGACTGGGCAACTTGGTGCCTCTAGTCGACAGCTGCCCAGGTAGCTGTGCTGTGCGCCTCTAAGAACTGCAGCGCGACTGCCCGACTCTCCAGCGCTTTCAGGTACGAATCTAGACGGTTCTTGGGGCCAGGTTCGAGCTCTGGCGTCACCCGGTGAAGGAGAGGGATTGGGGGGCGGGGGCGGGGGTGGGAGGTGGGGTAGATGGGTGAGAGGTGGGTTGAACTGGCAGCTGCCCAGGTAGCTGTGCGCCTCAAAGAAGTGCAGCGCGTCTGCCAGCCTCACTAAAGCCTTTAGGTACGAATCCAGGCGGTTCTTGGGGCCAGGCTCCAGCTCTGGCGCCACCTGGTGAAAGGGGGGTTGAGGTTGGGCGCGAATGGGGGGCTTTGAGGTACGAATCCAGGCGGTTTTTGGGGCCGGGTTCCAGCTCGGGTGCCACCTGGTGAAAGTGAACGGGTGGGGGTGGGAGGGAGGAGAGGTGGGTTGAAGCGGCAGTGGCCCAGGTAGCTGTGCGCCTTGAACAATCGCAACGCATCTGTTAACCGGTCCAGAGCTAGCAGGTACGAATCTAGACAATTCTTAGGGCCGGGCTCCAGCTCTGGCGCCACCTGGTGAAGAGGAGGGAATGGGGAGTGGGGGTGGGGGGTGGGGGGTGGGGGGAAGAGGAGGGGGGGGGTAGTAGAGGGGGGAGAGATGGCTGGAAGCGGCAGCTGCGCAGGTAGCTGTGCGCCTCCAAGAACTGCAGCGCGTCGGATAGCTAATCCATCGCCTTAAGGTACGGCTCCAGGCGGTTCCTAGGGCCGGGCTCCAGCTCTGGCGCCACCTGATTGGTTGGGGAGGAGGAGGGGACACACGCGGATTGGTTGTCGCCAAAGAATACGCGCTGTAAGATTTGCTTAGCGAACCGTTAGCGGAATTCTAAAGCAGTGGTACATTGCACTATCGGTGCCTTACAACGCGTACCAATGTGGGCGTGTCGAGTTTCTCTAGGAGCGTTCGAGGGTCCTTCTTAACGATGTTCTCGAAGACCTTGCTACCAGCACCACCCGTTACAGCGCCATTCGCTGTTTCTACGTCGCATTCCCCGTCCGCCCTGTCCGCGCCATCCCCACTGCCGCGTATCATGGCTCCTCCCGTCACAAACCCGCTACGCTAGATAAGAGTGCACATTAGAACAAATAACGAAGAAACCGTTTTAGCCTGCGCCACCCGCAAAGCACGTTGAGTGGATAATGACGGGGATCCGCGCATTGAAGAGATTCGTTAACAAGTAGGTGACACAAAAACACCAGTGGTTGGGCGCGAGACTTCTCCTGCTCATCGTAAAGTTTCGGCAAACCAAATATGGATTTCAAATTTCCCCTATGTGAATCAGTGTGCAACAGTTTCACCACATCCGACGGCTGCTGCGGACAAGTCCTCTCAGGCTGCCGCTTGGATCGACCCAAAAGTCACTCGGGGCAGCCAATCAAAAGGCAAGATTTGGGTGTTTCGGCTGACAGCTAGGTGCCAGCTCGCGAAAAAATGTCGTCAGCAGCTTTGTGCGACGTCGTCAGAGTCACCCTTACGTCGAACGAGTTGTTTCCAGCGGGCTTGTATTTTCGAAGGGTTTTTTGTTATTTGGTTACTGTTACTTACGATCCGCGCACAGTAGTCACCTTTAGCGCACAGAGCCGAGGGTTTCGTCGCTTTCTGAGCAGCAAGGAGAGGTTTAGCGTTCATTTTGGTTATTTTTTTCCTCATTGGTTCGCGTCTCACAATTTCATTGGTTACACACTGTACCTCGGCATTTCGCTGTTCCCAGCGACTGTTCCAGAAAATCTCCGTCAACTACAGAGCACGTCGCTCAAAGAACCTGGAAACACTGTAAGCCTCGGGTACCTTCAATTTCTGACGGCAAAATTATCAGCGAATTTATTTTCCACATGGATAAAACATGACAACAATACTCTATGGGAATGCGGATTAGTGCAACGGGATTGTTCACTTACATTTCATTCAAACATTATATAATAATATATTTTGTACAATTATATTTTGAGCTCATGATTTTTTCACCATGTAATTCCATGATATTCATCAATGATATAGATCTTTCAATAATTTTTCTAATTGTTGGATGAATATTTTCAAGACAAGCTAGCATATTAATGTTGACTTGGACGTATAGTAAGGTCCTTTTTGTAAAACAATGTTGTAATACAAAGTCCCTTTGAAAATATTCGACCATGTTTGAAAACTCTATTGTAAGATATACATTGTTTACGAAGATTATGGAATTCCATGACAAAAAAATCATGAGTTGAAAATTTTACAAAAATGTTTATTACACAATATCAAAATGAAATGTAAGCGAACAATCCAGTCGCACTAATCCACAATCCCATATTGAGTATCGTCGTCATGTTTTATCCATCTGAAGAAAAGTTCGCTGTTAATTTTGCGGTCAAAAATTGACGGTACCCGAGGCTCTTTCTGCTTCCAGGTTCGTTCAGCGACTTGCACAATAGTTGACGGAGATTTTCGGGAACAGTTGCTGAGAACAGCAAAATGCCGAGGTACAGTGTGTAACCAATGAAATTGTGAGACTCGAACCATTGAGAGGAAAATTAACATAAATGAACGTTAAATCTCCCCTCACTGCTCAGAAGGCGACAAAACCCTCCGCTCTATGCGCTAAACGTGACTCCATTTTACTCCATACTCCAAGGTCCATAATTTTATCAGATCCACCAGGATGTACTCCGTCTGTACGATATACATCTACTGTTAGACTTCGCTAAAAAGGCGCAAAAGAACATAGTGACCAATCGCACCAGTAACATAATGTCACCGACCACCGAATTGGGTGCGATCGCAGCCTGCCAGCGTCGCCAACCAACCCGCGAGTGCGAGCTCTGAAATTCCTCGTAAATTGTGCTTGGAATTGCCCGGCCAACGCGCGCTTGCCAGGGCGATCCGACGTAAGCACGACAGACCGGGGGGGCGAACACAAAATCACAGACCCCCGTCCACCTAGCACTTTTGCATCCGCGCTGACATGGGCATGAATCCCTACCCCCTTTTCATCTATTCTGTCTTATTAATACGGCCCTATTCTAATCCTTCCGTCAAGAGCATTCGAGGCATTTTCCATATTTTAGAACCAATCACATAAATATTCAAGCTTCCCGCGTAACACGAACAGGTCCGTCACGAATACGAAAACACGATCCGCCGTCCCTCAATCACCATTAACAACTGCACATTTCGAAAAGGGTTTTTCTCAAGGGGTTTTTTTCACTGTCGTTAAAGCGTGTGACTGGTTAACGGAACCGCTCAATTCAGTCGTCAAACTTTCGTCCCATTAAGCCCTTTTCGTGAGACCACGAAAAAGGGTTTTCCAAATTATTTGATTTGTGTGTTTTGAGCCTGCGTTGCTTGCGGGCAGGTCGAGAACAAGGTGTTAGTTCTTTTGTCCGCGATAATTCTGACGAGACGACAAATTCGCTGAGCGTTTTTGGTTTTTAGTTGTTAGGTTACTGTTACTAGGACGCTGTGCAATGTAGTCACGGCTAGCGCACCCCGAGGAGGGTTATGTTCCATTCTGAACACAAAGGGGCAATTTAGCATTCATTTTAGTTATTGCAATTCTAATTGGACCACATGGTACATTTTCTTTGGACGATATATACAGCGTTCATTTTAGTTATATCGGGCTACAAATTCGCCCACACTCTTCCTTATTTTTTCTAACCATCTCGGATGGCCAAGTGGGAGGTCCAGATTTCCATTGATTTGAGATTCACTCTTGCCGATTTTCCTGTCAGCATTCTGTACAGTATCTGCGCGTCACTCACGAACCTGAAAACGGGATTGCCGACAAACCTCAAACACTGACAGAAAATTCTTCCCCGGCCGTCAGATTCAAATGGAGTGACAACTATACAGACTGTATCCAGTAGAGCATCACGCGCTGGGGAAAACACCGACGTGTGATATTTATATATATTTATATTTAGATTTCATTGGACACGTAGTTTAAAAGGTGAACAACAATAAGAGGCAGCTTTTATTCTCATCATTTCATTATTTCTCCCTAGTTCCACAATTATAACAAGAATTTTAACTAGCTCAATATAAAAGAAGCATAGTGACTCTTTGTTATGCTTTATGTTTGCGAGGTGTTACTTCTTTTGTCCGCGATAATTCTGACCAGACGACAAATTCGCTGAGCGTTTTTTAAGAAGCCACATGAGCCCTCATATGACATGCGGCGAAATCACTGGTAACCTGGCCCATTGGCCAATATGCCAAGGCACCCATCGTGAACAAAACGAGTAAAACGGCCTACGCCACCCCACCTAAAACCACTCGTGCTACTCGATTATCCATTTTGCCCGTTGTGAACCGCTCCTATTCGTCGTAGTCCATTTTTGCGAGTCGCGGGTTTGGAGCATAGAGCATACCCGCTGTACTGTGCGCGGATCTCAAATAGCAGTAACCGAACAACTAAAAACCCTTTTGCGAAACGCGTGAACGAACAGTCGTGCATCGCGAAATTGTATAAGAAACAACAATCCTGACTTTTCCGGGTTTCCCTAAAGGGGTGACTTGGAAACAAGACGACTAGCCCTGTCATGCTTACATAACAGCTCATCACGCACCTTGTGTGGAATCTAGAAACGCTCATTTTCCTACAGCGAAGTATGAAGGGCTCTTTTTCTCTCGAGTGAACAAAGCATCCATCCGTCACGTTTCGTCCTAGCACCAGGTCCGTCAACCCCGGGTCAAGTTCTGCATGTGTGCGAATCTGGTGTGGATTCCCGAATCCCCATGTGTGCAGATTGCCTGGCACCAAGGGAGACAGGTCAGGTTGGGGACGGGAGACTTGTACACGAGCATCATGAAAATCGATTTTCAGGGCGGGTGACAGCATTCGTTTTCGGGCAACACCCTGCCGAACCGTTTCACTGTGTTAATTTTTAACCTTTGCGAAAGCATTCCATCTCAACCGCAATCGGACAAGTGCTTAGGACACGCCCTCAATGCTTGCAATCACGAGTTGCACACCCTTTTTTCCTTAATGGTTTCACCCAAAACAGTCTAAATTTCAATCCCACCTACCAGGTTTCCAGCATGATTCGCGCTGACACCGAACCTGATTGGCTGCAGTCTGAAAGATGGCGAACAGTCAAGTCGTATTTCGACAATAACGAGAATCCGAGCTGTAAGATCGCACTGGCAAATTATCCAGTACATGAGCGAGACTTTGTAACTATTTGACAGTGCTTATTGTAGGTTTTCCTCTTCAATGTCCAGTTTGCCCGGGCTTGACAGTTTCCTGCTTACAAGCTTGTAGCGCGTGCGAAAAACGTTGACACCCAATAGGAAAAACGGTGCATTTTCCAAACGCCCCTGTCCTAACACCCAATCAGAATGGCTGGATGTTCTCGAAGCGACAGTCGCACAGCATCCAAATCTACGAGAACCAGGAAATCTTTATTTCTTATCACCCCTTTCCGATCGGCTGCTGCCTGAGAGCTGGTAGCATGGCCTTCGATAGAACCGATGCTATTTTGATTCCTTTCTCAAGACTTCCTCAGTCTTGAAAAAGCTGGGTGTCGTATTTCGTTCAACGACTGAGCTCAGTAAATACCTTTTACCACGGTGTCGACTCGGGTCGACTTCTAAATCTCCGCCATGGGCGCGTTTCTTGGACGGCCTCGGCCAATCAGGGCCGACGGGAAAGTCGTGCTTATAACGGGGTGTTCCAAAGGCGGAATTGGTTACGCACTCGCCGAGTAAGCACCTTACCTCCCGTGGCGCCTGCGCGTCGCGCGTCCCACGCAGCGGGTTGCAAATAATGTGTTAGACCTCGAGAATCCCGACAAATTTGAGATTTCATCGCTGAGGCTGGCGGGATATTTTTCAAGAAGTTTGTGATTTCTCAAAGGTCAAACAATTAGAGGGGAAATGTTCCTCTAATCGCCGTTTGTGATTTTCTTCCACCTGAAAGGTTACATTAATTTCTGGGTTGAACCGTCACGATTCGCAGGGAGTATGCGCGACGCGGGGCCAAGGTGTACGCCACTGCGCGCCGATTGGAGGCCATGGATGGGTTACAGGAACAGGGCGTGACTATATTGAAGCTAGATGTGACCAACGAAGATGATATTCAGGTATGCTGGGGCCGTTACATGGGAATTATTGGAGTCACCTCCCTAATGAGCTTTATTTTTTATTTGCTTGTTAATTCCCCCCTACTCTCCTTCCGCTCTCTTCCAACTCTCACAGGGCGCAATTGACGTGATTATAACGGAAGCTGGTCGGATCGACGTGCTTGTCAACAACGCCGCTGTGTTCGCCACGCGGCCTGTGGCCGACACGCCTCTCTCTGATTGGAGGACGCTGTTTGAGACGAATCTGCTCGGCGCGGTTGCTATGGCCCGAGCTGTGTTCCCCCACATGGCTGAGAGGAAAGAAGGCCTCGTTATAAACGTCTCCAGCTGCGCGGGTTACTGCCACCTGTGAGTCCGGTTTGGGAAAGAATGGACTGCAGATGGTACTTCCGTACCATCTGCTTTCCGATCTGTTTCTAAGGTCAGAAAATGCCGTAGGATGCTGCATAATATAATGCACTGTGACTGCCACACCATTCATTTATGATGTTCCTGAAGCCCCTTAATCCATCCCGCGGGCTCCCCCCTCCTTCCACCCTCCCCTTCCGCCCCCCTTCCCCCCAACCGCTTCCTCTCCTCTCCTCTTCCTTTTCCTGTACTATGGCGTCACAGGCCCATGGCAGCAGCTTACTCGGCGTGACGACGTCCAAGGCTGCAGTGAACGCGGTGACCAACTGCATGCGCATGGGCATGAAACCGTTCGCCTTCTACCTCCCCTCTACCCCCAACTCGTTCTCTTTCTCGGAGCCTCAGGCCCATGGCAGCAGCATACTCGGCGTCCAAGGCTGCGCTGAACGCCGCGACCAACTGCATGCGCATGGAGATGAAACCGTTCGGGGTGAAGGTCATGCTGGTGGTTCCTGGATTCATTAAGACCAACATACACAGGTGAGATGAGCCAGGGCGGCAGGTTGGGTTGGGATGGGTTGGGATGGGTTGGAAAGTTTTGGTGTGGGTTCTACGTTGTGGTGTGACTGGTTGTGGAATCTGGGCAGGAATTGTGCCCTCCTCTCCCATCCGTGTTTGAAACACAGCATCACCTCTTCTCATGAAGCGAGCTTCTCCTCGTATATGCCCCTTCCTGTGACACCTTCCGTCCGTGCCTTGCTCACTTCACTCCCCAGCAATGAGCAGCACAAGAGACAACCGTTGCCGTCCAACAGCCTGTACAAGTCATGTGAGGGGCGGCTCAACCACATCGCGGATTGGGCACTGACCCAGTTTATAGGGACAACTGCGGAAGAGTTTGCCAAGTGCACTGTGGATGCTGCGGTACAATCACCCCCCCCTTGGCGTTTCTTCATGGGGGCTGGCTGGCGGCAAGCCATGTATGGCCTGTGGTTATTGCCAACTTCAATTGTAGACTCTGAATTGTGGAAACCCTATCAAGCATGCTTGGAGGGACCATAGTGTATATATACACCAAATAGATGCCTTATATGTACATGTCATAGTGCTTTCCTAAATCGCTTCTCGTGTGATGCTAGCTATCAGAATTATGTGCGGTTGGAAAAGGCATTTCGCTAAGTAAATGTCATCTCATACCTCAAATCCAAGCACACTACCATATCAAGGCACACACCATCCCACCCCACCCTGGAGCAACCCACTGCTCTGCTCTGGTCAAAACATGCTCCTGGCTCCCTGACGCGATCGGCTTTTGCTGCCCGCACACAGTTGTACGGAATCCTCCCTCTATTGCCGCGAGATTGAATCGAACCAAACAGACCACCAGTTAGGCGTACCGTAGTTGTTTTACTACCGTAATTACTCCACATTGCATCCTAACCTAACACACCTGGCCTTCCTGGTAATCTTACGGTATGTAAGTGCTAGCAGTCTGAACCAGTTTGGAGTGTCTTGTTTCTAAATAAACTTCATCCCTGCGATTCTAACGTGCCGAGAAACCAAGTACTGTACCACCGCATAAACGACTCCAAGCCACCCCACCGTCCTAATCGAGGGAAGGTCCTCACTCCCCGACGGCAGCACCGCGGCTGGCACGCACAGCGGGCCCAGCACCAGCAAGAGGTAATCCGCCCTCCTCTTGCTATCCCACATGAACCGGTTGAACACATAGTGCATCGGCGCGCACAGCAGCAGCAGCAGCAGCGACTTTGCACACAGAAAGAAGGCATTTTCCTCCGTAAACCACTCCGCTCCCCAGTAGTAGATCCCCGAGTAAGCCTCGGAAAACAGGAGGAGGAAATTGGTAAAGAGGAGGTACCCGGAGAGGACGGCTGTGAGGGGGACGTAGCGGTGGCGGTCGGAGAACGCTCCGAGGGTTTGGGAGTCTTGGTTGAGGAGGAGGAGGATGGGAACGAGGAGGAAGATGGAGTGGCTGGCGGTGTCTGATGTGGCCAACTCGGAGGAGAGGAGGAGGGCGAGGAGGAAGGCGAGGACAGTGCTGATGTTGCCGACGAGCGGCATCCAGGACTTGCGGGAGAAGAAGGCCGAAAGGAGATCCACTGGGCGGGTCTGTTGTATGCGAGTGGAGGGGGTGGGGGTAGTTCGGGGGAGGGGGGACGGGGGAGGGGGGAGGGGGAGGCAGAAAAGAAGCAGTTGAAGAGAGGGGGCGAAGGGGAAGGAGAGCCGACTTTTGAGTCGACTCAAAAGGAGAGGATGGTGCCGATGTTGCCCACCAGGGGCATCCAGGACTTGCGGGAAAAGAAGGCTGAGAGCAGATCCACTGGCTGGGTCTGCTTTGGGTTGGGGGGGGGGTGTGGGAGGGGATCGGGCGAGCGGGGAGTCGGGGGAGAGAACGGGGAAGGGGGGTTTGTACGGCCCTGTCCTTCAGACCAAACAAAGAGCTATTTCGCAAAACCGACTTCCGTCCCATTGGCCGACACACTCCCGCAACTCCCCATCGAAGTATCAACCTCCCTTGTGTCAGAAATCGAAACCCCCAGGAACCCACCCGTATGGCTCTGTGCTTGGAACTAAACGGAGGTCTGTACCCATCCATACACTCACTCACTCCCATTCACCCCCAATCAGTGTGTAATGAGTCTATTTTTGAGGCGACTCAAAAATAGACTCATTAAACACTCGCATTCACCCCCAATCATGCTCACCCCCCTCACCATTAACCCACGCTAATCCAACCCAACCCATCCCCTTCACCTGAATGGCTCTGTGCTTGGGACCGAAAGGCGAGCTCTTGGGGAGAGCCGACTCCCCATTGGCCGACACACCCTCGCCGGCCACCCCTCCCACTGCCGCCCGCCCGCCGCCCGCGCCGGCACCCGCGAGTTTGTCCCGTAGTGCTGCTGAGAGCTTGAATTTGATGACAAGGGCGGCGAGCAGGAAGAAAGTGCAGTAGATGGCACAGAGGGCGTTGGCGTATCCCTGGTGGGGAGGGGGGGAAGGGGGGGGGGAGGAGAGGGAAGGGGAGAGTGAAAGGGGCGTGATTGGTCTTGTATTGCAAAGGAGAGCGGGCTTGAGATGGACGACGAGGGCGGCGAGCAGGAAGAAGTGCAGCAGATGGCACAGAGGGCGCTGGCGTAGCCCTGGTTGGGGGGGGTTGTGGGGGAGAGAAGAGAACAGGACGTAAGGGGAGAGGGGGGTCTAGTTTGTCTGATAGTGGAAGGGGGAAGTGGGGGAAGGAACATGATGACGAGGCTGGCGAGCAGGAGGAAAGTGCAGAAGATGGCACAGAGGGCGTCGGCGTAATTTTGTAGGAACCTAGAAAAACGTTGGCGTCTCCCTGGTGGGGAGAAGAAAAAACTGGGGGAGGGATGATGGGGTTGAGTTGAGATTACAGAACATATCACCGCGGTAAATCAGGACAGGTGCATTTGCCCCCTCCCCCATTCCCAACACGGGCAACCCCACCGCAACCCCTACTCACCTCAATCCCCCTCCCCCTTCCCTCCTCACCTCGAGCCTCGTTTCCTCATGGAAGTCAGCCACCAGCTCGCCATCCCCATTGTCCACCATGCTCGCCTGCCCCAGCGCAAAGTACTGCACCGGGAAGAGCAGAATCTGGGCGGCGAAGAGCGCCGGCATGAGCTTGGCGCTCCAGGCAGTGGGGTGGTGAGTGAGCACGAGGAAGAGGGCGGCGAGGACAGAGGCGGCGAGGAGGAGGAGGCGGGCGAGGAATGGCGCTAGAGGGATGAACTTGGCGGTGAGGTAGATGCCGGTGGAGAGGCCGATTGCCACTGAATAGATGAGCCGGACAGACTCCACCTGTGCAGGTAGAGGGGTAAGTAAGAAGCAAAAAAGCGAGAAATGGAGCCAGAGGGATGAACTTGGCGGTGAGATAGATGCCGGTTGAGAGGCCGATTGCCAGAGTAGATGAGCCGAACGGACTCCACCTGCGGAGGTTGGAAGGAGGAAGAGGGAAGTGCAGGAGGAAGGGTGGAGAACGAGGACAATAGGGTGTTGTGTGACATTGTAACGAGGTGACTTTTGAGTCGACTCAAAGTCACAGCGAGGACATTAGGGTTTGCACGCGAAAAAAGGGAGGGTTGGCGCATCAGGCAGTCCGGTGGTGAGTGAGCACGAGGAAGAGAGCAGGGAGGAGAGAGGCGTGAAGGAATGAGGCGGCGAGGATTGGGAAGAGCGCGAGGCGAGGAACAAAAAAATGACACCTCCATGCTCTCCCCAAAATCGGTGGAGTCGTCAGGCTTGTCGTCAGGCTTGTCGTCAGGCTTGTCGTCAGGCTTGTCGTCAGGCTTGTCGTCAGGCTTGTCGTCAGGCTTGTCGTCAGGCTTGTCATCAGGGTCACATCTTCCCCATCCCCCCCTTCCTTATCTCACCTTAGCAATGGGAATGGCAGAGAAGAAGGCAGCTAGTGCTGACACGATCGTCCCCAGCAGCAGCCACACGGGCCACACGGGCCACACGGGCCACACGGGCCACACGGGCCACACGGGCCCCACGGGCCCCACGGGCCACATGGGCCACACAGGCCACACGGGCCACACGGGCCACACGGGCCACACGGGCCACACGGGCCACACGGGCCACACGGGCCACACGGGCCACACGGGCCACACGGGCCACACGGGCCCCACGGGCCACACGGGCCCCTCGATACTCTCCCCATCGATGGTGGATTCGTCCGGGCCGTCACCAGGGTCACTTACTCCCCATTCCCCTATTTCAACTCACCTTAGCTATGGGAATAGCTGAGAAAAACGCAGCCAAGGCTGAGACTATCGTCCCCAGCAGCAGCCACACGGGCCAGACAGGCCCCTCCAGGCTCTCCCCATAGATGGTGGAATCATCGGGGTCGTCGTCTGGGAAGTGGTCCTCGTCCCACACCACGTGCCATGCAGGGGGGAGCGGCGGCTGCAGCACCAGGAAGAGGAGGCAGGCCGCCACTGCCAGCGCTGCTGCCCTGCGTGCTTTCTGCACAGAAAGGGTAAGTGGGGAGAGAGGGCATGTAGATGAGTGAGGGTCGTCACCAGGGAAGCGGTCCTCATCCCACACCACATGCCATGTGGGGGGCAGCGGCGGCTGCAGAACCAGGAAGAGCAGGCATGCCGCCACCGCCAGCACTGCTGCCCTTCTCGCCTAAGTTGGAATATACGCGTATCGCGTTTTATACGAAAGCGTTTATACGAGAGCGAATAAACGCAACACGCTTAGGGGGAGGGGGTCGGGTACGCACAGAATACGGTGGCCCGGGCAGGGGATCTTTTTGTTCCGGGCAGGTGGAAGTAAGGTTAGCCTCTGCAGATGGGGGAGAAGGTGATGCTGTGGGGCTGGAAGTCATGGTGGCGCGCAAGCTACGGTAGAAAGGGAACTGCGAGAATGCATATCGAATGTTGAAACGGCAGTAATTTATGCTAGGAGAGCTGACTCTGTTTGAGGCCAACTCGTCTCGAGGAGGAGTTGGGAGGGGTTGGGAAGTGACGAGGTGGAGAGGGGTGGACAGAGGTTCGAAGGGGGGGTTGGTGGGGTTAGACTTCAAAAGTTTAACTCGAAGTTGAGTTCGCGCGATATGCGAAGGCAAGCGTTCTTTTCGCCAAGTCGCAAAATTTTGCAAAATTTTGAGGTTTTTTTTCGGTCAGCCCGTGCGTATTTCGGCGTATCCAGACCAAAATCGCAGCGTACGTATTTTCTATGCGCTTAAACGCAATACGCAATCAAAAGTGAGCGTTTTTTCCAACTTAGCTTCTCGCTTTCTGCAGTGGGGGAAGTGGGAGAAAGGGCGAAGGGAATGAGGGAAGGAGGGGAATGGGGAAAGGATATGTGATGAGTTGGTTATTGAAATCTCTCAAACCCCAAGAAGACGGGAGAATGGGTATGGGGGGAAATGGGGGGGATGGGGTGGGGATCGAATGTGGTGGTCTGAATGACAGGACTAGAAGGCTTGCTGCCAGTGCCAGCAGTGCCAGCAGTGCCAGCAGTGCTGCTGCTCTCCTTGCTTCCTGGAATGAGGAAATGGGAAAAGGAGCAGAAAATTTGAGAAATTTGAGAAATCCGCCACGGTAATCAGACCCAGGGAGCCGATGAGAGGTGAGGGCAAGGGCTTGCGGCCCGACGCTGAGACGACCCATGCTTGACCACTCACATGTAGGGACACGCACCCGCACGCGCGCGCGCACACACACACACACACACACACTGACAAGGAGTGGAAGAAGCAACGTACGAGGCTGTTGGGGAAGTGGATGGCGACAATGGGCAGGCACCCCGCAACGGTGATGAGACCCAGTGAGCCGATGAGCAGCGCGTGGGAGGGCTTGTGGCCCGACGCAGACACGATGACGTCGAAGATGACGTAGCGGCAGAAGAGCACGGTGAGCAGCACCAGCCCTGCGTGCATTAGCCCCATCCACGCCTTCATCCTTGACCCCGGACGCGCCCTGTCCCTGTGTGTAGGGAGGGCGGAGGGAGGGGAGAAGGGGGGGGGGGGGGAGGGGGGGGAGAAAAAGGGAGAGAGAAGGGGTGTGAGATGACGGAGCGGCAGAAGAGCACGGTGAGGAGCACCAGCCCTGCGTGCATGAGCCCCATCCACGCCTTCATGCGCGACCCTGGGCGCGCCCTGTCCCTGCACGTATGTATGTGTTAGGGGGGTGTGGGAAGAGGGAGGGGTGAGATATGGCGATGCGGCAGAAGAGTACAGTGAGGAGCACCAGCCCTGCGTGCATGAGCCCCATCCACGCCTTGCCTTCATGTGGGACCCAGGACGAGCCCTGTCCCTGTGGATGGGGAGGGGGAGGGACGGGGTAAGGAGAGGGAGGCGGGATGACGCTGGGAAGAGTATATGAGAAGGCAGAGACTTGAGTGAAAAAGCGGAAAACAGGCACACACTCTGCGAGAGGTATGCCACTGATCCTATCGTGAGAGGTAGAGGACTAACTCGTGGGGAAGAACGGGGGCACGGAACGGAAGGAAGGACGAGGAACGGAAGGAAGGGCTGCGAGGTGGCAAGGAGCAGCACCTGGGGACCCAGCAGCACGCCCTGCGAGTGCACCGCCGGCATGGGGATGGGGCCGTGGGCAGCTTCGCCAGGTACAGGCACACGCCCAGCCACTCGGCCACTGGCCCAACCTTGAGAGAAAGAAGGGGGGGTAGTTGGCTACAGGCACACGCCCAGCCACTCCGCCACTGGTGGGCCGACCTTGGGAGGAAGACAGGGGGCTAGTTGGCTACTGGGCTGATCTTGAGAGGAGATAGGTACGAGCATGGGTGACTCACTGGTAGAGGAAGAAGGGGGGAGAGATGGCGAGCAGCAGCAGCTGGGAGCCCAGCAGCACGCCTTGGGAGTGCACCGCCAGCATGGGCAGCTTCGCCAGGTACAGACACACGCCCAGCCACTCCGCCACTGGCCCGATCTTTCCCGCCGCCCGGAGCTTCCGCATCGAGACAAAACCAGCCACCGTGGTGGCGAGCACGAGGTATGCGGGGTACACGCCCCCCTCTGCATGGCCCTCGCCGTTGTAGAGAAGACTCTCGAGTCTGGGGGGGGGGGGGAGAGAAGGGCAATGAGGTGCAATGAGAACGAGCGAAGTATGCAGGGTACACGCCCCCCTCTGCATGGCCCTCAGCGTTCTACAGCAGACTCTCCAGCCTGGGGCAAGAGAGGCGAGGGGGTGTGGGGGGAAAGAGTAGAGGAAGGAGACTTCTGAGTAGCCTCGAAAGAGACTGGTATTTAGGGGTCATTGTGGTGGGGAGCACGAGGTATGCGGCGTACACGCCCCCCTCTGCATGGCCCTCACCATTGTACAACAGACTCTCGAGCCTCTAGGGGGGGGGGGGGGGGGGGGGGGGGAGGGGGGACAGGGAGGGGAGAAAATTAAGGAAAGAAAATGAGATGCCTGAGAACAAGGTACGCAGGGTAACCCCCCCTGTGTATGACCCTCGCCGTTGTACAGCAGACTCTCGAGCCTGCGGGGGGGAGAGAATAGGGAGGGGGGAAATCAAGGAAGGTATGCCATGGGGGTTGTGATGGTGGCTCAGGCTCGAAGTATGCCACTTTACAGCAGAATCTCGAGCCTGAGCCACCACCACGACCCGACCCCCATGATGGCACCCTCTGAGGCTTCTGGAAGAGAGAACTACGGCGAGGACCACGGCGAGGAGAAGGGGTAGGAAGGCTTGAGAATAGATCTCACCTGGAGAAGAGGAAGGCCTGAGCCACCACCACCACCACCACCACCACCACCACCACCACCCGCTACGGCTTCTGGAAGAGGGCCGCCCCGGGGACCAGCAGAGCCAGCAGCAGAGCTAGGAGGATCTGCTGGCAGATGGAGTTGAGGGAGACGTCTGCAAACACCTTGAATCCTTTCCCTCACTTACATACACAGACTCACCTGGAGAACAGGAAGGCCTGCACCACAACAACCACCCCAACCACCCGCTGCGGCTTCTGGAAGAGAGCCGCCCCGGGGACCAGAAGAGCCAGCAGCAGGGCGAGGAGGATCTGCTGGCAGATGGACTTTAGGGAGAGGCCAGCGAAGACTATAGCGAGGGAGAAGAACTGGTCCATAACGAACCACGCTGCTGCTAGTAACGTGGCGGCCGCGAATATGAAGTAGGACGTGATGGAGCCCGTGGAGTAGTAGTGCGCGAGATACGCCGCTGCTATGGCCGGGGCAGGGAGCACCTGGGATGGGGGGAGAGGCAGGAATGGGATACAGGATGGGATGACAAGCGAAACAGGGGGCAGAGGGATGAGAGCCGGTGGGTGGATGAAGTATGAGGCGATGGAGCCGGTGGAGCAGTAGTGGGCGAGGTACGCTGCTGCTACGGCCGGGGCAGGGAGCACCTGAGCTGGGGAGAGAGGCAGGGAGCAGGGGGAATAGGGGGAATAGGGGGAATAGGGGGAATAGGGGGAATAGGGGGAATAGGGGGAATAGGGGGAATAGGGGGAATAGGGGGAATAGGGGGAATAGGGGGAATAGGGGGAATAGAGGGAATAGGGGGAGCAGAGGGGAGAGGGGGGACAGGGGGAGCAGGGGGCAGAGGGGTGAGAGCAGGTGGGTGGATGAAGTAGGAGGTGATGGAGCCCGTGAAGTAGTAGTGGGCGAGGTAGGCCGCTGCTATGGCCGGGGCAGGGAGGACGTGGGATGGGGAGAGAGGCAGGAATGGGACAGAGGGAGGGATGACAAGCGAAACAGGGAGCAGAGGGGTGACGGGGGAAGAGGGGTGAGGGCAGGTGGGTGGGTGATGGATCCCGTGGAGTCATATTGCGCGAGGTACTTACGCTGCTGCTGCTACGGCCGGGGCAGGGAGCACCTGAGCTGGGGAGAAGAGGGCAGGCAGGGAATTGGGGGAAGGGAGGTGGGCACGGCGCAGAGGGGAAAGAGGGGCGGAAGCAAGGTGCAGTGATGAAGTGGGAGGTGATGGAGCCGGTGGAGTGGTAATGGGCGAGGTAGGCCGTTGCTACAGCTGGGCGGGGACGACCTGAGATGGGGGCAGCTGGGCAGAGCAGGGAGATGGGAGCAAATAGCAGGGAGTGCAGAGTGTGGCGCAGAGGGGGTGCAACACTGGGGTGAGTGAGTGAGGCAGACGCAAAGCTGAAGCCCAGCTCTCAGATCCCTTCTCCTTCTCACCCACTCCTCGGTGGCAGCACTCCACAACCCCTACAGACTTACCGTGATAGGCATGCCGAGAACGAGTGACCCAGCCACAGCCGACACCAGCAGCACAGTCGTCACCACTGCGGACCCCACTGAACCCCTGAGCAGCCCCATCATGTGCGCCGCGAAGCCGAAGCCGAGGCCGAAGAGGGCGAGGGTGACGAGGAGGTAGTTAAGGGGCGGCGGGAAGTGGATGTAGTGCGCGAAGGACGTGAAGACGACGCGGATCTCCACACAGATGAGGACGACAGCTAGTGAGAAGCCGCCGTTGAGCACTTGGACCTGCAAGTGGGAGTAAATTTGGGGGGGAAGGGGGGGGGGAGGGGGGACGGAGTAGCAGAGGGTATTGGTCAGCAAGGCGGGTGTTGGGCCGGCTGGCAGCAGGTGGAGGATGGGTGTTGGGGGCGGGAGGGAGGAAGGAGGAGATGGAGTGAACAAGGGAAGTGGAGCGCCAAGGACGTGAAGACGACGCGGATCTCCACGCAGATGAGGACGACCGCCGTTAAGCACTTGAACCTATTGTGGGGGTGTTGGGGGAGGGAGGAAGGAGGAGATGGAGTGAGCAAGGGAAGTACAAGGGGGGAGTGGATGTAGTGTGCCAAGGGCGTGACGACGACGCGGCTGTCCACGCAAATGAGGACGTACCGCCAGGGAGAAACCGCCATTCAGCACTTGGACCTGTTTTCGTGGTAGGGGGGGGGGAATACGGGGGGGGGGGAGTAATGGGGAGAGCGAAAGACATTAAGACGGCATTGGCATGCGAAACGGGTAACCACAAGGCAAATGCGGACACCAACGGGAGAGAGGCCACCGGTGAGCGCAATTGACTCCCAAAAAAGGTGGGGGAGAAAGAGGAAACGGTGAAAAAGGAGAATTCCGGTTAAAAAAAAAAAAAAAAAAACGGGGAGAACAGGGGGCAAAGGGACCAAGGGGGAGACAAGGGTAACGGGGACTGGGGACTTGGGAACATAGCCAACCGATAGAATCCGCTCACCCTCTTGAGCTTGACTTTGTCGGTTGTGAGTCAATTGAGCGCCCCTCTGCGTCTACGCGAACAGCACGAAGGGCACGGGCAGGAAAAATAGCAGCTGCGTGTCGCACGCCTCGTTATAAGGTGTGTCTAAATCGAATCTACTCACCCGCTTGAGCTTGACTTTGTCGGCGGTGAGCCAATTCAGCGCCCCTCGGGTCGACGCGAACAGCACGAAGAGCACGGGCAGGAAGAATAGCAGCAGCGTATCACACGCCTCGTTCGCTGACTCAAAGATCCGGTTGTGGTGCACCGCGAGATGAAACCCGCACGGCAGGAACAGCACCAGCATCATGTGAAACAGCCCCTCCATCGAACCGATTATCCACACGTCCTGGCCCTCCTTGCCTCCGTACCGCGGCTGCTGCTGCTGCTGCTGGTGCGCGTGCGCGTGCTTGGAGGTTTTGAAGGAGGAGGGGCGGGGGAGGGAGAAGAGCCAGTAGAGCGCGAAGAGGCACGGCATGAGGTAGAAGGGCGCGTACGCCGCGCCCACGGCCGCCATGAGCCCGTATGTGACTATAGCGATGGCTGTCATGGGCGTGCACGCGAACAGGAGCCGCTCTAACGCGAGGACTACAAACGGGTGCTCCAGCTGTAGCCAGCGGAACTGGAGCGACACCCAGACGCCGCAGAGGAACACGAGGTGCATCGCTGTGAGGAGAATCAGCACGGAGATTATAACGGGGATGTGGGGCGCGAATCCGAGCCCGGAGAAGGCGAGCGCGGCGGCGGTGGTGAAGAAGGTGCACCAGATGGCGACAAACGCGCCGTTTTTGAACTGCAGCGCGTCCAGGATGTACGAAATCATGAGCCCCGCGACGAGCGTGCCTACAACGAGCGGTCCCCCCGCGCCGAGGAGGACCAGCACGCACGGCAGCAGCGCGGTGGCGACGCGCGCGTTGTACTGGAACCCATGGGATGCGGCGAAGCGAGAGTCGCCGGAGGAGGGGGTGGAGGGGGCGGAGGAGGCCATGGGGAGCGGTCGGCGGGGGAGCTGCCCCCCCATGGCGGGGGAAGTGTAGGGGGAGGCATAGGGGGAGGTGTACGGGGTGTGGTACCCCGGCGAGCCTTGCGCGTACATGGCACGAGGGAATCTCAAGGCAATGGGAGAGCCTCAAGGAAGAAAATCACGTGTCGAAGAATCTAATGAGGCGGATGCCAAATCTATGCCGGATACGAAAAAACGAGGCTGGTAAGTCAGTCCGTGGCACGAAGAGCCTGTTAGGGTAGCAAAATCGGTACGACGAGCGACGGAGCAGGAACGGAATCTTGAAGCGCAAGCGGCAAAAGATGGAAGCTTGACGATCGGTCAGCAGGATCTGGCTTCGATAGCGGGGGATCGTATAGAGAGGACGACGAAATCTCGAGAAAGAAAAAACAAATTTCTGAGGCGCCTCAAAGATAGGCTTCTGGGAAAGGAAACCAGAATTCCAGTATCCCTAGCGGGGAAATTTGGCTAAGCGGACGAATGCTCGGAGTCGCATTTCCATCTTGCTATAGCCGGCGATCCGACGTGGCTGCTGGCATTTCGACCATCACAAACCCAGCTGCTTCACTCGCAAGATCGAAACTGGCCGACAGCACCGCTTGTTATGCTGCGATAACGAAAGCAGAAACCCAGCACAATAGAGAACAGCTACCAGCAAGCTTTATGAAACTACTGCTGTTCAGACTGCACTAATTTCTAGAACCTGGTACAGGCCAATAGACCTAGAGCGTAGTACAGCCTGCTGGTCTAGAATCTAGAATCTGACAATCCTGGTCTTTCAGTCGGAGCTCCTTCCATGCAGCCTAGATTTCTCCTCAGTGCAGAACCGACCAGAACCAATCGGAAACCATCGAGAACCCGCTAGGACCGATAGGTGCAGGTGCAGGTGCAGGTCTACTGAGCCTGAGATCCAGCGCAAGCGCATCTGAGGGGAATAAAAATATCGTACGGTTTGAAACAGTTCCCGATTCGATCTGACGGCTCAGTCAGATCTTGGCATTTCACCACAGCTGCTCTGTTTCATACTTCAATATAGGGGAAAACAGCGTGTTTACTTGTGGATGCGGGTTTAATTGTTTTGCATATAACAATGTGATGTTACAATACAAAACGCAAGTCCACTCTAGGTTCGTCGTAGCATGAGATGGGAATGATCTTTGTACTACAGTAGACTTTTATGCGCATTATACCGGCACAGGAAAATAGGGAAACAGACAAGTACCCCTTCTGCGCCATTCTGCAAGTGATGCTGATATCAGAATAATTGAATAATGGTAAAGTGAGAGTACACACAAATATATCTAAGTTTTGTATCCTCTAAGAGGTGACTCTATACAGTCTATACAAACATGACAAATACACATGTTTGACACACCCCCTAGACTGCATAGGGGAATACCCTAAACAAACAGCTCAGGGCGGCACTACTAGTCCAACCTCTGAGACAAGGGTCTGAGCGACCGGTCAGAAGGAGTACAGACAAGGCAAGCACAAGAGCAGGGCGGCACTACTAGTCCAGCCACTGGGAGAGGACACAAGTCCAGTCTGAGTATACATATAAAGGACAGTACAAAGTCAAGGTCCTAGCAAGTGAGAGGCTACAGGAACTAGACCAAGCTGTACACAGTGCCGCTGATGATCTTTAGGCGCAAGCGCCTTCGTAAAGATATCAGCCGTGTTGGCACCTGAGGCCAAGTGTACTACACGAGCCTGACGTCGCTGTTGTAGCTCACGCAGGAGGAAGTACCGCAGCTGAATGTGCTTCGCTCTGCCCTCGAGTCGAGGCTCCTGACACAGGAGGATCATGGCCCTGTTGTCAGCGAACAGGACCGGGGCAGAGCTAGGCCGCTCACCTAAGTCAGTGAGCAAGAAGGTCAGCCAGCGGAGCTCCTGTGCCGCCATGGCACCGGCGTAGATCTCAGCCTCACAGCTGGACTGTGCAACAGACGAGGAGCGAGTAGCTCTCCACGAGACGGCACCTGAGCCAAGGCTGAAGCAGTAGCCCTGGGTAGACCGGAGTGTCTCAGCGTTGTCTGCCCACGAAGCGTCTGTGTGCCCAGTAAGGACCGCTGGCCTGCGTCCTCCTAGCACTAACCCCATGCCCGATGTACTAGCAAGATAACGCAGAACCCTCTTAGCGGCAGACCAGTGCTGCGGTCGGTGTCTGCCTGTGGCCACAAAGCGAGCCAGGATGCTGAGAGGGTATGCGAGATCTGGGCGAGTGCAAGTCATCAGGTACATGAGGCAACCCACCAGCTCTGCGTAGGGGCCGCTGGGCTCTACCAACTCCTCAGGCACTGGAGCGGAGAGCCTGTGGTCTACAGGCAGAGGGGTGGGCTGTGTAGAGGAGAACTAAAGGCTGAACCTCTGAAGGACCTGGCGCACCAAGTGTGACTAAGTCAGGGTGATGGTGCGCGCAGCTCTGTCCCTGGAGATCTGCAAGCCAAGGTAACGGCGCAGTTCTCCAAGGTCAGTGCAGGTGTGTCTCTTCAGCAGCTCTGCCTTCACGGAGGCCAGCGCGTCCCTGTCTGCTGTGGCAAAGACCAGGTCGTCGACGTAAACGAGGATGTAGAACGGAGTCTGGCCAGCACGAACGAAGAGTGAAGGGTCTGCAGAAGACGGAAAGAACTGCAGGTCAGCAAGCGTAGCACGCAGAGTGTCGTGCCACTCACGGGGAGCCTGGCGCAGGCCGTAGACGGGGCGCCGCAGGAGCCACTGGGTCCCAGGAGGGAAGGTGCCAGTAAAGCCCGGAGGGCGGCGCAGGTAGACCTGCTCGTGTAGGCTGCCCTGAAGGAAGGCAGTGGAGAAGTCGAGGGAGTGAAGCTCGTAGTCACGCTGAGCAGCTAGGTGTAACAGAACCCGAAGAGTAGTCATCTTCGGGGTCGGAGCGAAAGTCTGGAAGAAGTCCACCCCCTCGCGCTGACTGAAGCCTCTAGCCACATAGCGCGCCTTGAAGACAGGCGGCTCTCCAGGAGGGCGCTTCACCTTGAAGAGCCAGCGGCCATCGACTACGTTCACCCCAGGTGGGGGAACTGCGTCGACGAAGGTGCCGGTGGATCTCCAAGATGCCATCTCCTGCTCCATGGCAGCTATCCACTGCGAGGCCCAGGGTCCCGAAGTCGCCTCAGCGTAAGTGCGAGGGGTCGGGATGTCGAAAGCGTCTGGGTCACCCTCAGGGACTAGCAGCATGGAACAGAGATGGGGAGCAGCCTCGGAGAGGAAAGCAAGCTCGAACTGGCGGTCCTCCAGGACGTCACTGCCAAGGGCAGGAGCACCCCCGACAGACGGAGGACAGGCAGGGTCAGAGACCAGAGCGGTGGCGTAGTCAAGGCGGCGGGTAGAGGCGAAGTCAGCGATAGCAGCGACAAGAGCGTCAAGGCACGAGACTGGAACAGACGGGTCGGTAACGAGAGAGGCAAGGACCCGAGGAACGAGAGGACGAGCGGCACGAAGGTAGTCGGACAGCGGGGGGGGCGCAACAACAAGGGAGGACGGAGGAGGCGACGGCAGAAGGGGAGGACGAGACGCGTGTGAACGAAGCAACATAGGGTGGGAGCGCAGGACAGGCGAGGCAGGACGAGCACGAGAGGGACGGTGAGACCAGACGTGCGATGGAGGAGTCGGGTCAGGAGACAGGGGAGGGGACACAGGAGGGGAACAAGGGGGGAGACGGGCCGGGGACGAGTCCGGCGGAGGGAAAACAGGGCCGTAGACAGGAAGAGGAGGAGACGGTCGGGGAGGAACCGACGCAGGGTCGGGGGACGGAAGGCCGAGCAGGCGAAGGGCGGACACCGGCGGGGACTGCTGCTGCGGCGGCACAACGGCGACAGCTGGACCGCAAGCTGCTCCTCGGCTACCATCGGCACTCTCCACACCCGCACCCCCAGAGGGACCACCCTCAGGGCGACCGGGACGAGCACCCCCAGAGTCAGCGAACGGAGGCTGCGACTGCGGCGGCTGCAGTGGCGGCAGGGACGGCGGAGGAGGGGACTGGGGAGGGGACACCTGGGGAGGGGCGGCCGGCGAGGACTGCACCGGAGGGCCACCAGAGTCAGAAGACTCCTCAACCGGGTCCACGGACGGAAGGGGGGTGACATGGGAGACACCAGAGGGGGCGGGACGGGGAGGAGGAGGAGGAGGGGCAGGGACTACCGGGGAAGGGGTGACCAGGAACAGGGGGGGGGTAACCGGGGGACCACGGTGGGGGAAGCGGCGGTAGTAGGAGACGGACTCGTCAAAGGTGACGTCACGAGAGTGAAAGAAGCGGTGAGACGGCGGGTGGTAAAAGTGCCAGTCGGACTCGTCAAGGGGAAAACCGAGGAAGACGCAGGGAAGGGTGCGGGCAGTGAGCTTGTCCGTGCCGGAGGCACGGACGTGAGCAAGGCAGCCCCAGACGTGGAACGCAGACGCGTCACCAGGAGACCCAGTCCACAGACGGGTCGGCGAAACCTGCGGCTGCTGAGGGTGCGGCCACAGGTTAAGCTGGTGAGAAGCGTAGCGCACAGCGAACGGCCACAGAAAATGGGGTGCACCGGCATGGACCATGGAGGTGCGAGCGACCTCCATGACCAAGCCGATGCGTCGCTCAGCGACCCCATTCTGCTGTGGGGAGTCCGGTAGGGTGAACGTCTGGGTGATGCCCTCCGCACGACAAAAGCGACCAAGGACACCTGAGGCAAACTCGCCACCACGGTCTGAGTGAAGACGCAAAACAGGGAGACCGCGGTGGACACGCGCAGAGACAAGCCAGGGGATGAGGGCGCCAGGCACGTCGGCCTTGCGCTCCAGGGGAAAGACTGTGGTGTAACGAGTGAAGTCGTCGACAAGCACAAGGAAGTAGCGCTCGCGACGCGGCCCAGGGACGGGGGCGGGGCCCCAGACGTCCAGGTGCAGGGTCTGCAGCGGCGCGGCGGTAGGGGGGAACGAGGAGGAGTGAGGGGCACGGCGAAGCCGACCCTCGACACAAGGCGTGCAAGGTGGAGCTGGGGAGGAGGGAAACGCGGGGAGTGAACCTGGGAGACCAAGGACAAGACCGTGCTGGGACATGTGACGCAGACGCGGGAGCGCAGGGTGACCTAGGCGGTGGTGCCACAGGAGGGTCGGGTGAGTGAGGGAGCGACAGGAGCAGGCAGCAGCAACCTGGGTAGACACAGCCACCTGAGGGGGCGCTCCAGCCGGGGGGGGCACGGTGTCCAGAGTGAACAGGCCGGACACCGGGTCCCGGGGGAACGTGGACAGGGGGGCACCAGTGGCGGCCTCGGTACAGACAGCATACCGCTCGTGACCAGGGAACGTAGTGGTGACGCCAAGGTCCTGGAGGCAGCCGACACCAACTAGGTTCCTGGAGAACGAGGGGATATGCAGACCTGTAAGAGAGCCCGAAGGAACCGCCGGACAGGGAAGGGTGGTGGAACTGCGTGCGACTACCGGGCCGCCGGAGGGGTCAGCAAGAGAAACGGCAGCAGGAACAGGAAGTGGCGTCAGGGTGGTGGAGTCGCGGAAGAAACACCGAGAGGCGCCAGAGTCCAAGGTGAAGGAAAGCGAAGCCGAGGGGTCTGGCGACGGAACGACGGCAGAAGCACCAAGACTACACAAAGCAGGGGATCCTACGCCTGACGCAGCAGGGGAGGCTAAGCTAGGCACACCTACACTAGGCAACAGTGAGTAATAAGTCGGAAGCACACTAGAGTCATCAGCATACATCACATGCAGAGCAGAAACAATGGCATCCATGTCCATATCAAAGA